AAAAAGATTTAGATGTTTTTTTCATTCGTAGTACTAAAATAATACTCTTATCGAACTACAATAAAATAATCTAAAATAGAATTAAAATAATACAATCTACTATCTCCCACCGGAGAAATGAATCCATTGATTGAACAAAATTAAAATCTAAACATTTTTAATAACATTTATTTTCTTTTTTGCCTCTGGAATCTCGAGAATATAACATTTTTTCTTTTAAAAAAACTTTTTTAAAAAAAAAATGTATCAAGAGACTTTTTTTTTCCTTTAGGTCAATACTCCCTCCGATCTTATTATAAGGTATTTTAATTTGTTCTACGCTTCACTTAGTATGAGAATAAAACAACATGTCTTTGTTTTGAGCCAGGGGCGGAGCCAAGCCCTGAACATTAGGTGGGGCAAAAAAATATAACTTCTAAAAAATGTTCATTATTAAAAAAGAATAACTCTATGTATAATAAATTTTAAATTAAATTATAAATTTTAAACAACATAATTTACCATATAAATTATTTTCATGAGACGGAGGACATGATAAAGTTCATAAAAAATTTCTTTACGACAACTCATATATTTTTTCACAAATAATTACAAACTCACAACAACATATGAAGTAAGGTTTTTTTTATATATCCTACTATATTAGAAACAAAAACCTCCCTTTCAAACACCTCATATGATTGCCACGTGGCATGTAGAAAGTACTAAATTGCCCTTTTGTCTAACCATAACAAAATTACTAAATCTCCCTTTGCACTTTACGTGACATGTTTTTTTTTTAATTTTTTCTTTATGTTTCATTCAACTAGAGTGGTTTTTTAAATTGAATTGATCAATTAGGTTTTTTGTTACAAAGTGTCAATTTTGTTTTAAGCGTATACCCTTCGGATGAAGCTTATTACAAAACTATTAAAAATCTCCAAAACTAAGTATTGATTTGGCACGACCAATGGAGAACATCAATAAATCATCTTACTAATATTTAAATTTATTAGGATGCTTTTATATTTTATCTAACATTTATTTCAACACATATATTCGATTAAGGCTATTTATATTTAATAAGTAAAACTTATAAAACATTTCTAAAACATACATGGCGAAATACAATTTTTTTTTTTTTTGCGAAATACAAATATTTCTATGATCACACTTATAAAATATTTCTAAATCCTTCAAATATTTCTAAAATATATCGCTCTAAATACAAAATTTTATTTTTTTTCAAATATAAACATTTCTAAGATATACAGATAGACTAGGCCAGGGTCGCGCAATGCGCGACCAGACTTCACTAGTATATATATATAAGAAAAGGGCTAGATTATCAACACACACACACACAAAAAAAAAGTTCTAAGAAAGCAGATAGATCTAGAGCAAATACAATGGAAATTCTTTTTTTCCCATTTGTTCGAACCCTTAAGCGAAGAAAATGAGTAAAGGATGAATGTGAAAAAAGATTTTAAAAAATTTAAGAAATCAATTCTGAAGTTAAATTTGGAATATTTATTTGCTTTAAAGTGTAATTGACCATTAATTAATACATGTAGTGAAAATCAACCCTCTATTAAGAATTTTTATCCCTCAAAATAAACATACTTTGTAATTTTTGTTTATGCCCCTTATCTTTTGAATTTTTACTGGGGCAAAAATGAAGAATATTGATAAATTTGTGGAAATTTAAGTGTACATTAAGGGTAATTGGGAAAAATCTAGCTGGGGCAATTGCCCCATCTCCCTTGTACTTGGCTTCGCCCCTGTTTTGAGCAAAATTTTGAGAGATCGGCACGACCATTGACAAACGACAAAAATTAGAAATATTATTGATGTACCGGGTAAAGGTTTTGTGAGAAATAACCATACAAAGAATCAGAAAACACGAGTGGGCCTCTCAAACAAACAATTCAAATATGAATTTTCCAACACAAATGTTGAAATCCTATGTTATCAGCTTCAAATAATATTAATTATAATAATAATCCTACATTATCTAAACACTAGAGGGAGTAGACGTGTGACTGCGTTCCTACATTTGACATGATATAAATTCTATGAAAAGAAAAAATAAAAAGTTTTAATATTAAAAGTTTTGAGAGTCCCTTAATTATTCATTACACTTTCTCAAATAAACAAAAAACAAAATTTCAACATATTTATCAATGGTAAACAAGATTCTTAGTAAATTTAGTGTACATATAAATAATATTTCAACTTAAATAAGAGCCGAAAAAAAAGAATACACTAACAAATTCAATTAATTTCTTCATGCCAACTAAAAGAAAACAACAACGAAAACTAACTCAAAGAACAAAAAAGTATCAAAGATGAAAACTACAATATCATGTCTTTGTAAAGGTTTCTGGCATCAAATCTTAGAAAATGGATAAAAGCTAAATTTCAGAACAGAAAGAGGATGATGAACAAAGCTAATAATTAGTTACCTTCAAGGATTTGGGATAGAGAGATCACAATGTATAGATAGCAAACAAACTTGGATTGAAAAAAAAAAAAAAAAGAGAATGACTAAACTCTCCTGTTTATAATTATATATCGACCAAATCTATTTAGGATACCAAACTCTTAATAGTCTTTTTCAGTTACAAAATTATTTCTTAATATTTCATTCATGTGAAAAGAGAAGAAGAAAAGACAATAGAAAATTATTTCTTAATATTTCATTCATGGGTATTTCATTCATCAAATTCACTGAATAATTATTTTTGTAATCAAGAACTTCCAAATTATAACTTCTAATTAAGTCTTTTTATTTTCTTGACCACATTTTATTCTTTTTTTTTTAACTAAACACCCAAATTTCATACATGAAAGAAATAACATCAAAGTTAATGCATAGGAAAAGATAGCTAAAAAATCAAAGTTAATTAATGTATAAGAAAGGACTAACATAACCTCTTCTACGAAAATATTAGCGTAAATGACTTAAACTCAAATCTTATACCTGTGATGATTTCTAGTTATTTATTAGAAATAAAATACTGATATGACAAGTTTGCCCTGATAGGCATCCATAGTCCATAGCCGTGAATCTCTCTCTTCCGACACCAAATGCGGCAATCTCCGATGATTATCATTCTCAGGCATTTCTCAGCGGTTCATCTCTCTTCTGACGTGATTCTCCGCAGTCATGTAGCAATCAATATTATCTCTCATTGTTAACTAGGAGGATTAATCTCATTCAAAATCAACAAAAAAAATTTCTCAAAAATCTTATCTTTCATAACTTTACAAAGAAAGGAAGAAATTAAGGGCTTGTATGGACAGTGTTTGTTTTAGTTTTTTGTTTGAGTTTGAGATGTAATTTAAAATGTGTTTTGAAAGAAAATTTAAAAATTTATTTGGGTAATATTTTAATAAAATAATAATATTTTTACATCATCACCGGACCACTTCCACCATTGATGCCACAGCCGGACCACCCACTGTCGCCGCCGGCCCGATTTCGGCCAAGGCGAGTTGGCTAGAATCCTGCCGGCTAGTCCCCAGTGGCGGCGGAGGTGGTTCGATGATTGTGAATAAAACTTGTGTAAAAATAATTTTTGAAATAAATTTTAAAGGTAAATTAAAAAAATAATTTGGATAATATTAAGTTTTGTGTTTGAGATGTGTTTTAAGAGATAAAATGAGACAAAAAGTCAAAATGGAAGTTGGACAAATAAGACCTAAAATCCTACATCCTGCCTTTGGAACTTATAAATATATGGAAGTAAGAAATAAAACTTATAAATATATGGAAGTAAGAAATAAAAATCTTACGCTGCCAAACTCATGTCAAAACCATCTTGGATTCTCATATCAAAACCAATTGGCAATGAGTGGGGTGACTTTTGAAACTTATAAACGGTTGACAGATTATTCACGACGGCAATGTGGGATTGCTTGTCCCAACACCCTCCCTCAACCATCCTATCATCGAAATCTAATATCCTTTTCTATGAGTTCAACAATGAAAATTTAAAGGCAAATCAAAATTCAAACCCTTTGTAAAAAACAATAATAATAAAAAAAATTCAAACCTGCCCCAAATCAAAATTTTGCTGCTAATCAGACCCAAATCCTTGACGAAACAAAATTTGAAGCAACCCAGTCCGTACAAGGGAGATCCGAGGAAACAAAAGATTGAAGAAGTGGATCAGTAGTTGTTGATTTTTTTTTTTTCTTTCCGCCATTTATCGTTGTTAGTATTGATAGTTAGTTAATCTGGGGAAATCGCGTCCTTGAAGGTTTTTTTAGAAAAACAAAAAATTATAGATGCAATATGATATGGGATTTAGGTCAGTTAGGCAAATATTTTTATACAAACTTTTATTTTAAGAAAAAAATTCCTACCAAACTACCAAAACACATTCTGCTATTATATATAAAATGTTAATGACCCAGTCTGCATGAAATGAGTTTGAATCTTTAACATGATTTAAAAAAAAAAAAAACACGGAAGAACAATTAAGACAAAAGTGATCAACTTGAATCATTATCTTCATAACTGACAATGATCGACTATCCTAGACCTAAATAGAGGCTCAACATATCTAAACGGTAAACACTAAACAATTTCCTGTTCACCCAATCTAGCTTACAAGTATCAAAAGAATAAGAAATGCGAAGTTCCATGAAACCTTCTCCAATGCTCAAGAGAAATCTATAACGGCCATGCTTACTGCTTGCTGTGTTCGATTGATCGGAGAGAAGGCAACAAGAGGCAAATACACAGGATTTAGCAAGAGATGTGATTAGTACAATAGCTGATTGTTTCTAAAGCTTGAGTCTGACATATTTAGTCGCTCATGGCTGAGGCCCTTCTAGATCTCCTGTATATTATAGGCATAAGAGGGCCACCTGACATCCTCTCCACATTGCATTTTAATAAGTTTCTGGGTTCTATCTAGAACTGCGAGGCTTGAGAATGTGGAGAAACTGTTCCCAACAAAACACATGAGACCCCAAGCGGACTTCATAATTTATAACCGACTGAAAAAGGTATGGATGCTTCTTGTAGATTTCAAGAACGTCCAACTTTTTTCGTCTCAAAAGGAAGCAACCCTGATTGCCAACCATTCAAGATAGTGTTATCTTCAAGAACAGTATCATCAACAGTCAGGTAAACAAGTATTGGATGATTCAGGCCCTTGATGTTTGCTACTCTCTCTTGGATCTCCTCTTTACTGCTACATAATTTCATTTACATTCAAACGTTGCTCCAACTTCTTGCAGTGGATCATCCAGTCTTTTTCTATTCTCATATGAACAGCCACATAAGTCACACGATCCAACAATTGCCTATCTGATTCTAAGACAGTTTGAGGCAGCGCTCAATTTTTCGTGTTGTTTGCTGTCGAATTTCCCTAATCTTGGTAACAACTTTATCAGCTTCTGCGAGTAATTCTTCCACTAAAACTAAGCATTCAAAAATCTTTAGCAACCTTGACAGACTGGCCGGTGATCATGCCACAAGGGTTGTTCCCCACAATGCGAATTGTCTCATAATCATCATACGGAGGCTTACTAAGTATTGTCTCAACTGATCAAAATCTTTCTCAATGGTCCACCTTCAACCACTGCCCTTTGGGAGCTCAATGACATCACCTTTATGTGAAACATCAGAATAACGACTCAGTTTGTCAAATCCCTCACAAAGAGAGTTTAGCAAATCAAACTGAAAGACTTTATCAAACGAGATAGGTTGCAAGAGATCGACTTCTTTATAGAACAAAACGACGCTCAAACTAGGCATCAAGAGAGTTCGATTCATCAATTTTGCAGTTAAAGAAGAAGCTCTAGCAAAACCACTTTTTTGGTTATTCATACCCATACTAGCTATATACTAAGCTCTGACGACCAAAACGACGGTTACCGAAGCAAAAAACATTTGCATCCCAGTGAATTCAAAGGAAACCCGAAGAATCTCAAATGCATACAAGTCCATTTAAGATTCAATGCTCAATTCTCGCTATCCTCTCATCTGGATCAATCCAGAAAACCAACAAATCAAAGCCAAACAACTTTACCTTCTCTGCTTTAATTTTTGCATCCTAATAACACAAATTAATGCACAACACTATCATTAAAACTTAACACATATTCCTCCACTGAATGGGAGCTAGGAAATCCAGAATAGGAACAACCCCGATTCAGCCTACACTTTCTCAGCAATGGATTTCTTCCGGCGAGATCCAGAAATGAAATTATGTTGAAAAAAGAATGGCTAAAGTCTTCACCACCAAATCAAACAGCATCTCTGAAATCCAAATTTTTAGGACCCGACCATAGAATCTAACAATGCAAAAGATTTTCCCTGACCAAGAAGATGGAAGCCCAAATACGCATTCACCCCAAGAAAGTCTAGAATACAATTGCATTCCATCAAAACTGCAGGTAGAGAAGAAATCATCAAAAGGACCATTTGATAATTGAGTCTACACCTAAAGCCCAATTTCGAGATGAAATCTTGAACATTAAACCTCTGAAAGAACAAGCAGAAACGGCAATCTGATTGAACCCCAAAAACTGCCTCTTTGGCAATCACCCTTTGCCTCTCGAGGGTCCTGGGAATTTTGGTTTCGCCAAAACACCCTGCAAGCGAGCTATTTCAGAAGCCCTAATTTTCTCCCTGGCCATATCCATCACGGTATTGGTGATGGAGAGAATGTGAAAAAACCTTGTAACTAGAAAAGGCTTGCATCTAACTTTATTTCTATGTTTAACTAGTTTGAAGCAGCCTGGGCTCTTGCTGTTTATTTTGATGACGAGGATGTGCTAATGTATGCCTGCTACGCGCTCTGTCGTATCTTTCTGATGGTCCAATCTATAAAATCCAAGCTGTAATTGATGCGGGTGTTTGTTCACCACTTGTGGAGTTACTTGCGTAGGTTCCACTTGATAATTCTGCTTTTGTTGTTCTTTTCTCAATTGATTTCTGATCTAGAATTGTAATCTTTCAGACAACCATCGCATTGTGTGCTAATTCCTGCACTAAGCACTCTGGAGAATATTGCAAAAATAGGAAATGATAGCCAGAGACAGGTTTGTTCAATCCATTTCTTCACTTAGTTTTTGCATTGAAATTTTGAGTTTCTATGTTTGTATGCGTGGGATGGAATGTTTCTTAATTTTAAATGGTTTCAAAGCTGTCAAACAGATCAAATGTTTCTTATTTAGTTTGTTTCAGAAATATAGTCTCAGATTCAGTTGTTTTCTATGTCGCACTCGATTGTACTCATTTTACCTATTATTATTATTATTATTTTATTTTTTTTGCACTCAATCACTCATTCATCTGATTTTCATTTCTTCACTACACTCCCATATCCTGGCCCTCCAGTCAGTCCACGAAGGTGGCAAAATTTTGTAATGTTTATGGTATGAATACTAAATTGTTTTGTATTTCAGTGCAGAATTGAGTTTGGGGTGCTTCATCGTTTGCGAAGCCTTTTGAACACTGGAGATGAGATACATGTCAAGGAAAGAGCTTGCCTAATCATCTCTGCTATTGCTGCTGGAAATGCGAAGCAGACAAAGGTTTAATCTCTTTTTCTTCCCTGCACTTGCCTACTGTGTTTGTGGAAGTTTTTGTTTAAGCTGTTCTCTGATGGCTATTCACTGGATTATACAGGCTGTGATTGATGCAGAGTTGATTGAACCTTTAATGTCTTTGCTAAAAGATGAGGAGTCTGATTTAAAGGAAGTTGCTGGGCAGGCTGTTAAAGATAGAACTCTCTTCTGGAACTCGTAAAGGAATCAAGTAATTTTTTTCATCATTTTTCTTTTCTGGATTTTTCAACCTATAATCGTTAGGGCATTAATCTGAAGGTTTATTTTTACGTTGGGTTATGGTGGACAGGGTTTATGGTTTGGAGGGTTTTGTACAGCCATTATGTGATCTTCTAGTGTGCTCTCATCCTAGGATCCTTACTGTTTGTCTAGACGGGCTTAGAATTTTATGTAACCCAAGCCGGGTGGTGCGATGGATGACTTTACCATGTTGATTGATGACTGATGAGTGTAAAGGCTTGGATAGGATCAAGGATTTGGAGAGACATGGAAAAGCTGAAATCCAAGAAAAAGCATCAAGTTCATATGACCAGGCACTAAAAAAGTATGGAAATTCTATGATGAAATGGGAGAATTGCGCGCACTGAGTTGGATCAATGATACTTTAGTTATGTGGAGTTTACCAGTGTCGTAGTTTGGTCCTAATATTTTTCCGTCATGTGATCTAGTAATTACTACTCATTCCTTTTCGAAATTCTATGATCTAGTAATTACTACTTTCTCAGTCTTAAAATTATTTCAGGCTTGATACTTGTTACTATAATGATTACCTATTCCTCCTTTTGTAGCGCGCTTGGGTTCTTGAGTTTCGAGCGTTAGAAGGTGGTAGTTGGAATTTGGCTTTCTGGGATTTTGTATATAGTTGCTTCTTCTTGTTTGCATAAAGTTTATTATTATTTTTTATGTTCAGATATTATTATTTAGTTTGGATTCTTTGTTTTGATATAAAAAAGAATAAAAATATAAATTGAATAACTACTTTAGAACGGAAAGAGTAATATTTTTAGGTTTGGTTTGGCTATGCAGAAATGGAATTAAATTATAATTTATTTTAAAAATGAGGTATTGAGATTTGAGGGGAAAAGTTTAATTGAAGGTGAATGGTCACAGTAACTAATCAACGCGGATAGAAACAACTGGACTAGTTATCTCAAGGTTTTTCTTAAAAAAAAAGAAAAAGAAAAAAGACATCCAGTGAACCCCACTTAAATATGGATAAAACTCCTTTACAAACTCCTTAGTGAGAATCAAACCCCTATTTATTACCAAGAACGATAGCACTCTAACCACTAGACTATAATTATCGCAAGGGTTTTGCTATCCTGAAAATGTAAAAATGGTTTTAAAAAAATATTCTCTCTTTCCAAAAATGATAAAAATAAAAACAAAAGAAGGCAAAGGAAAATTTTTATATCATCTCACTCCAGGACAATGGTGTACATGTAAACACATTATAAATGGGATGTTGACGAAATGTTGGTTGGCATTTGCAAAAGATATACGCCCTCGTCCCATAATTATTGTCCAGTTTTACTAAAATGAAAGATTTTATTTTTCATCAAACTTAGCTATATTTTACCTTAAGTAACCGAATATACCCCTACATAAGTAATTGTTTAACCACTAAGATTTTATGGATAATGTTTTTTACTAAGAACAAATGTGTAACTTGATCCATATAAAGTCAAATTGAACAATAATTTTGGGACAAAATTTTTTGGGTAAAGTGGACAATAATTATGGGACGGAGGGAGTAGTACATATTTATCCGAGGACAAACGAAAAAATGTACTTTTTAGTAGTACTACTTAATTAATGTAGATTTATTAAGCTATGTTTGAAAATTAGTAGTTGGAGTAAGCATTTTGCAAGCCTCATTTTTTCTTCCTCCTCTGTTTTCTTTTTTCACTCTCTTTCATAGAAAATTTTGAAAAGCAAAGCTAAAAAAACAGAGACAGAGAGGTGGTGGGGGTCCTTTGGGGGGCTGTGGGGCTTTTCTCCTTCTTCATCTTCTTCCTTTTTTCCACCTTCCCATCTTTTCCTTTTTTCCTCTTTCAATTCCTTTCCCCATCAAACAACCCAAAAGATACAAAAATCATGACCTCCAGACCCCCTCATGCTGTTAACGGCCACCACCATCACCATCATCCTCATCGTCATTCTCACGACGGCGCCGCCGCAGCACCACCTCACAACCACCATAATCACCACCACCCTCCTCCTCCTCCTCCTAACTTTCACTTCCCACATCACCACTCTTCTTCCTCCTCCTCTAAGGCCTCTTTCAAAGGTTGTTGCTGCTGCCTTTTCTTGCTCTTTTCCCTCATCTTCCTTATTGTCCTCGCCGTCATCCTCGTCGTCGTCCTCGCCGTCAAACCCAAGAAGCCCCAGTTCGACCTTCAATCCGTGGGTGTACAGTACTTAGGCATCAGTCCCAATCCTAATCCCAATCCCACCACCGGTCCCACCACCTCCTCCACCGCTTCCGTTTCCCTGGCAATCCGGATGCTCTTCACGGCCGCCAATGACAACAAGGTCGGGATCAAGTACGGCGAGTCCAAGTTCACGGTAATGTACCGTGGGATTCCGTTGGGGAGGGGTATTGTTCCCGGGTTTTACCAACCCGCCCACAGCGTGAGGCAAGTTCAGACCACGATTGCGGTGGACCGGGTTAACTTGCTCCAGGCTGACGCTTCCGATTTAATTAGGGATGCCACCGTCAATGATCGGGTGGAGCTTCGAGTTGTTGGTGACGTCGGAGCTAAGATCCGGATACTCGGCTTTACTTCCCCTGGAGTTCAGGTTAGCTAATTCCGTAAACTGGGAGCAATTCTTTGATGATTAAATTAAATTGACTGACTAATTTGATGAATAACTTTGTTTAATCATCTGAATTCATTGAAATGTCTGTATCTCTGCTTCTTCTTCTTCTTCATTGACGTGTTGGAGAGGGGGATTTTGTTTTGTTGGGTTGTGAGTTTTTTTTATTTTTTTTTATTTTTATGGTTTGGTTGCTCCCCTGTTGCTGTACAGAGCACGTGGGTTTGGTTTTGGGTGGTGGTAATTAGGCCTGCGATTTTCTTCACATTGTGCTTCTGAAAGCTGCAATGGCGGAACGGAACTGTGTAGTTCACTCCAATTAGTGAGTCATTTTTTGGTCCAGGATGGGGACTGGATAGTTTGTCACCTTCTCTTCTTTAATGCCATTAAAGGGTTACACCTTGTTTTCTCTAATGACTTATTAGACTATCATTCTTCTTGATTACCATTTTGCTTCCTATTGATTATATGTTGTGTTACTACTTAATACTGCTGAACTGGCTCCATTGAATTGGAAATGAGGCTATTAATTTTGGATTTAGAAATTGATTTTCTTCCTTAACCGTCCCAAATAGATTAATCATCTTGGGAAGGAAGGAAAACTAATTCGACCTAACTAGAAGTCTCTCCATTTTATTTTTCCCCATTTGATGTTTGCAACTGAGAAAGCTTGAAGGAAAGGGAGACTCACTAAATGTTAACTGTGAAGAATGTGGACTAGTGTATTAGTAGTAGGAGTAGTAGGACCTGTCTGTTTTAGGAATTATTTATCTCTGGTATTTTTTTTAACTGCTTTTTTCCACGGTTGGGAAAAAGAATAATTGTTTCCTTTTTACGATGGTAAAAAAATAACATTTTGTTTCTCCATCAATTATGAGACTTAGAACATACGTCAAATGTTGTTGACTAATTTCACACTGTCACGTTCAATTTTACTGATGATATCCTTTGATAGAGATACCCGTGAAAAAGATAGGCGCGTTCATACTTATTAACAGTTAACACGACCTTTCCTCTTTTGTCCTTTAGGGTTTAACACATTACATGCTAGAATTGCAATTTGTTTTGGTTGTTTTTTGTCATTTTGATATGCAAATCTATATGGGAAGACGGAGAACATGCTGCATGCGCTAGGCGCTAGGCATTTCTAGTTCCTAGCAAGTTGTAGTACAGTTGTTTAGCGTGCACCGGCCAAGATTTCGCCTTTTTTTTTTTTTTTTTTCTGTTCCATGATAATACGAATTTCTATCATCTTATTGTCGTGGTATCGCTTGGAAATTACCACATACTTTTACCGTCATATTTTAACAATGCAAACTACTATTAAAATAAGAGTGGTGATATCTTTGCGGTGGTATTACATTTTATGACAGTGATATTTACGAAGGAGGATCTAACTCAATTTTGTGTTAATGTTTTTCACAAATGGGGGCAGGTGTCAGTGGATTGTGCAATAGTGATCAGCCCAAGGAAGCAAGCACTCACTAGCAAGCAGTGTGGATTCGATGGACTTAGCGTATGAATTTGGGGAAATTCCCCACAACCCCCCAAAAAAAAAAACTGCAATCTCATTAAAGGTTTATTAATCATCATATATAATAGAGAAACGTGATAGAAGAGAATGTTACCCACTTTCACGCCCCAGATTGGAATTTTTTTTGTAGTTCCTCACCACTAAAGGCAAGTGTTTATAGAAAGAAAATTAATTAGGTGTGAGAGGAGGGAGGGAGGGGATCTCTCTCTTCTCCTTTTTGCACAAATTTTGTAAAAGTTTTGGTGAAGTTGTTGTTATCCCACACACCGCCTCTCTTAACACAACTTTTGATCTCACTTAGGTTGTTCCAATCTACTTTCCACCTTTGCCTTAATTTAATTAATTTGATTCAAAAAGGCCGAGTGTGATGATGAAGACGGAATCTGGTAAAGTATTTGGACTGCCTTCTTGCTTAAGCATTCTTCTTTCTTTCTGAATTTGACTCTGACATGGCTGTCAATAAAACAAGGCTTCTCAGGCAGGGAGGAGGAACTATACTTATTGATGTTGATGTTGTGCTGCTTCAATCTTCTTGTCAATTGTGTTTTTTCTTTGATTTTTGTTCTTTTGAGGTTGGAAATGTTCAACATTGAAAGAGCTGTTTGAAAACATTTTGAAGGTGGACAGGTTAAATGCATGTTTAATTCTTTTTTTTTTTTTTTTTTTGATACCGCAGAATGTTAATTTAACATCGCCAACAAGGACTAATTCGTTCAAAAGGTTGAACCAAAATGCATGTTTTTTTTTTTTTATTGCTGATAATTGTGCTAAAGCTTGTAATCAGACTTCTCCTTTCTCTAAGTTCATCTTAATATAGTAGGCTTGTCAAACTTATTGCAGCAACATCATACACTCATACTGCTACTAGAAGGCCCAACACACAACTCTCATCAGTCATCACAGTTGGAAACCCAAGCAAACAAACTCTACAAAAGCATTCATGGATACAATTTTTATTTTATTTTTTTTGATAAAGAGTGCTAACATTAATTAATACCAACTTCTGCAGTGGGCAGTTCGGTTGATTCAAAAGAAATTGAGGCAAGAGTTCATCAATTGATCTTCTTACTCCTGAACCTCACACATCAATTTGGCTTTTAAGTGTATGATTGATCTTTTCTCAAGGGAAAAGTGTAACCTCAAGAAATACTAGTGTAAACCCCACAGAATCCAATTACAACAACTGTGTATGGCCATTCTAAGCTAAAGCCAACCAATAACACATTAGTCTATCAATCACGACACATGATTCATACAAGATCAAACTTCCAATCTTGTACCACCAATACCCACAAGGATCACTCAGTATCTGCATCCAACAATCAACTACTACCTCAAAACACTCCCAATTCACCACCACAACGGCAAATTTCTATGAGCTCGCCATCCTCCGTGCGTTCTGAGTTCACGCAGTAGCCGCCCGACACTTGTGGGCTGTCTATTCTGTAGTTAATGATCTGAAAATTGAAAAACCTGATAGAACAGAAGACTGCCAGCCTCAAGCCCGGAAATTAGTAAACCTCCTCCCCTTTTTGCACAAATTTTGTGAGAGGCTTGCCCCCATTCAGGAATTTGCTGATTCAACTTTTATTGAAGGATTTGGATTTCGAGTTAACTATTTTACATATTCATAGCATTATTTGCAATTATAAGATCCGTTAATGCAGTGATGAATTTCTAAAAACAACGAAGCTACCTGGCAACATATAGTAAAACTTTAGAAACCCATACACAGATGCATTTCAATGAACAAACTGTTTAAAGATCTCATAGAAATCCAAGTATCAAGTTCTAAGTACCAAAACTTTCGAAACAAAAATAATTCCTGGATAACAGAAATTAAATTTAAAGGGTTCAAACTCATACGATCTAGGATAATTAAGACATGAAGGAGGTTCATGTTCATCTCAAGCATGAAGCATGTAGGCTTATGCCTTCTGAGCACGATTATAGAATTTCTGCTTCTCCTGGGTGGTCTGGAAGCGACCATGTCCAAACTTAGAAGAGGTGTCAATGAACTTGATCTTGATTTCCTCAAGAGCAACACGAGAGGTCTGGTTGAGCAATGTCTGGCGTAGTGTGACAACCCTCTTCTTTGGCCCAACACAGCAACCTTTGATCAACAAGTAATCATCCTTGACCACACCATAGTGGGGGAATCCACCCATTGGAGTAATATCCTTCTCAGTCCTGAGGTCAAAGCAAAATGGTTAGGACAAAGAGGTTAAAAAGTAACAAAGATAAGTGTCCACAATGTGGTGTTCAGCAACTATGCATAATTCAAGAATAATGTAATCTCTCACCTATCATATTCAGTAATGGCTGTATGTCCTTCAGTGCCTGCCTTGCCAAGCTTGTAAATCTTCTTGTTCAGCTCAGTACGGTGATGGTACCCATTCTGACCAGCTCGGGCAACGGTGAAGGAAACTCTAGCTGGATGCCAAGCACCAATACAAGCAACCTTACGAAGACCTCTGTGAGTCTTACGGGGGAGGCGAGTAACACCCCAACGGGTCACAACACCTTCATAACCCTTACCTTTGGTTACACCAATGATGTCAATCATCTCATCCTTCTGGAATACAGCATCAATTGGAACTTGCTTCTCAAAGAAACCATAAGCAAAGTCAACCTTCTGGGCAATGGTGCCACCATTCACTTGGATTTCCATGAGGTGAGCCTTCTTTTGTTTTAGCCCCTTCATCTTCCTTATCTACATGGGAAACAAAATAAACACAGTGATTATTCATAATTAGAATAAACAGAAAACAGCTTTCCATACATTTCAAGTAGATAAGAGTCCGGGATTTCATTGACACAGTAATCAGATTAAAGGAAATCCAGGGAACAAGTAAAACTTATTAGGGAGATTATTGTTTACCTGAGTGTGAGCCAAAACACGAATCACAGTTGCATACTTCTTCAATTTCTCCAGCTGTGATTGAACATCCTGTTTGCCTTCATCACTGTCAAACTTCTTGGAGTACTTGGTGAAGGCCTTCTTCTTGGACTTGCACCAGTTCTTGTAAAACCTCCTCCTGACTTCCTCACTAAGATGCTGAGCCCAGACTGTGGACAGGCAGCGCATGCCACGAGGGGTCTTCACATATCCAACAACTCCAACAACCACCATCGGTGGAGTTTCAACGATAGTCACAGCCTCACAAGTCTCCTTCTTGTGAAGTTCTACAAGTTTGAATCACAAGTCAGAATCAAAACTGCTTGAAAAGAAAACTACAGGAAGAACGAATGGTCTAAATGGTAGGCAAACTCCCTATGCACCAACACATATCATATACTACAACAAATTATTCCACAATATAATTGTAATAGTCTCAAAAAACAGAATGTGAACAAATTGTTGGCAGAGATGATTTGATTATCATTCTACTATTTTCTTCAGTATTAGGGTACAGGATTAGAATTTCAATAAGAAATTTTAAATAGGAGCTAGGTATAAGGAGTATGAAATTGATGCAAATGATGGAACAATTAGATGCTTCAGTCATATATACAAAACAGTGCATCAACAAGACGGAAGAACACCAAATGATGTATAAAATGAGCACAATATCAATCCAATCCAATCAAAGCATTTCAAAATAAATCGTATAATAATCATCATAGAAGCAGAGAGCCAATCAAGGCAGAAAAAACAAAAAGAAATTACTTGATCCAGGTTTCTCGACTTCTCTGACAATGTGGGTCATCCCAGCCTTGTAGCCAAGGAAAGCTGTGAGCTTGCAGGGCTTGCTTTGGTCATCCTTGGGGAATGCCTTCACTGCATTGAAGTAACACAAAGAATCAAAACCAAATAAGCTTTTAATAGGTCTACGCGAACAAAAATGCTTAACAGATTAGAACTAATTAGTAATATAAGAATTCATATGAAAAACAGAATACAATCCACAACTCTCGGTATCCAAGTCAAACGGTAGAAATTAAAGTGACAATAACCAAAATCCAAAGTTAACCAACATTGAGAACATAACTAGAACAGGACAGGAGTAAGAAAAATACCCTTTCCCCTGTGGCGAGCAGCTCTCTTCCTGGGCAGAAACCCGAGGGATCCATGACGGGGGTGCTCAAACTTCCTGTGCGACATTTTTTCTTCTCCTCCTTCACACTCTTACCTTAACAACAACAAACCACAACACCAAAAAAAACAACAAAGACTGAGAATGCTACACTAAAAGAACAAAAACCCAAAAGAAAAAATGAATGCACAAATTCAATACTAGAATCTATGATTAATCTGCAGAAGATTTGCCGTTCTACAAGAGAAACTGAATGAATGCGGCTGCGAAGGTAGAAAGGGGAAGATAGAAACCTGGGGGAAGGGAAACGGCGTGAAGCGAAGCTGTGAAAAGAAACGAAACCCTACTAAAAACTCAGCTGCTTTATAGCGAGGGCAGCCTTCGAGAAATGTAGACTGGGTTAGTTTATGGGCCTCTAGTACCACTAGAAGGCCCATTTTTATAAAGAAGCCTCAAGGCCCTTTTATGTTTTAATAAGCGGATTTCCTTTTCTAGAAGCCCAGAATACTTTTCGCCACTTCGCAATATAAGGCCCAAACGTCTGCTACCGGGGCTCCGACTCTTTTTTTTTTTTTTTTTTTCATATTTGAGGAGTTTGAGCAAGAGCAGCATCAAAGAAAAAGGATCGGAAGTGTGGTGATTGCTGAACTTTCGGTTTTCGCGCAGAACCGCCATGGATTTTTCAGGTCTCACTGAGGCTTTAGCATCGCAATCTTACGGAAACGTCGCTGATATCTGCGACAATCTCATGCTTCGGGTCGGATTTCTCCCCTTTTCCCACTTCCATCTTAAGTTATTGAGTGCGATACTTTTCTTTTTTTTTTTTTTTTTGGTATTGATTAATTAGCGAGTAGTTACCTGTTTGATATGCGAAATTTGGAACCCTAAATTTTTGCTGTTTCTTTTTATGGCTGGCTTGTATTCGGACAGGTTGCTTCTCAGGGCGAAGCATATGAAGATGAATGGCCGTACGCGATTCATCTCCTAGGGCATATTTATGTCAATGACATGTAATTTTTCTCTTCTTCGCCCGTGGATGTATTTTGCGCTGTATAGTTAATTTTGCAATGCTGTTCAGGGTTTAATTGTGTTGTCTGGGTTTTTGGGGGTTTATTGTGTTGCAGTAACAGTGCAAGGTTTCTGTGGAAATCTATTCCTGTGACGGTCAAGGAGAGCCGCCCTGAAGTGGTGGCAGCTTGGAAGATTGGTCAGAATCTCTGGACCAAGGATTATGCCGGAGTTCACCAAGCTATTCGCGAGTATAACTGGAGCCCTGAGGTTCAGGGAATTGTTACCTCATTCTCAGGCAAGTCCACATCATTAATCTGTACTTAATTCTACTTTATAGCTCCGTGCTGGATAGATGTTTGTGTATTTTTAACTGAATTGGAATAGTCTGTACTTAATTCTACTTTATAGCTCCGTAAGTGTTAATTTCTTGTATAAGAACCCTAAGGACGATTGCAATACCTTATAGGTCAGTTTCCTTCAAGGTGACATTCCTTTTTCTGTTTGATCATTGCAAGATCCTGCTTGTTCTTCATTTTGTGCTCTGTGTTATTTTCTTTCCCTTCCTGTTAAAGTTTTGGCTTTTATCTGCACCTTTGGACTGTAATGGTCAGCTCTCTGTCCCTTCTAGAAGCTTCAGAAATCATGTTCTGTATTGCTTTTTCTGACTTGATATGGATATCCAATGGTCTGATGGTGTTCATGTGATGTTTGTTTCATCTGATTGATAAGCACAATAAATTTAAGCCTATTGATAACAAGCAGATCAGTGATAAAAGCCCGAGAAAGGAATTTTATCCTGAATTCAGTTCTGAAAACAAATATTTGAATGCTCCTATAGAACTTATTGCCTATTGCAGAATTAACAGAAGTAGCAGTAGTTTGTTGTATGTTGGTACTCTTTGGCCTCCTGCTTTCACGCTCGGTCTTGATTCTTTTTCTAAATATGTGCAGAACTATACACGAAGAGAATGTTTGACCTCCTGGTTTCTGCATATTCAACTATAAGCATACAAGATGCAGCGCTTTTCCTTGGAATGAATGAGGGTGATGCTGCGAAATGTAAGATCCTGTTGGCACTGGTTTCTTTTAATCCTACTTTTCGTGCTGTTTACATTGGGAATGCATGGATAACAACAGTCACTTTGTCTGTAATGATGTTGTAGACCACCAGTAATAAGTGATAACTAATTATTTATGTCATACATCTAATATAGAAGTACTTTGTATGAGAAAGTTTTCTGTCAACATAAGTGCAGAATCTGTCTAGATAGATACTGTTTTTTATCTTACGAAATTGGCATGTGTATTATGCAATTTGCTGGTATACTTATTTGGAGGAAGTAGAGATGCTAGGGCTTTTATTGTAGTTGATAGGAAATTATTTTTCTTCCTCAAGCATTGTGGTCATAAAACAACTTCAGATGTTTCCCTAATGCATGATGAATGATGCCTTACATTCCCCATCTTGGCAAAGAGTTGTGTATTTAACTTCTTATTACATTTCTTTTGATTGGATTTTGTTTTACTGTTGACTCTTGTTTTTTGTTTATTTGATAACAACCTAATGTCCGGGCTTTGTTCATTTTGCAAAGAAAGAATTGTAGCTCTTGTTTTTACTATAGCCCATATGTACAAATTATAACTCCCTTGTTTGGCATCATCGGATATGTTCAAAGGTAGGGTGGTGATGTAATCATGTTTTTCTGCAGATGTGGTGGAACGTGGTTGGATTGTGGATACCACTTCTCAAATGTTGACAGTGAAGAAGCAGGAGCTTGCAGTCGAGCAAAAGCTAGATCCAAGCAACTTGCAACGCTTGACAGAATATGTGTTCCACCTTGAGCACTGATTTCCCCAAGTCTAAAGTACAATCTTTCTTGTTAGTTCCAATATGATGTGGGAAAAGGTGGAGGCTTTGTAAGTTCCATTTGCGGAAATTGAGAGTTGTTGATAACTTCTTATTGCTGAACTTCCCGGGAGGATATTGTTAATGGCAAACTAGCTTATTCCATACGTGGATAGCATTAACGTAGGCAAAATGTAGGTACAGCTTTGACTGGGGAGCATCATTTTGAACTTAATGTCTCGATTTTCTTGATCATGTTCTCTCGTGCCTTTCTTTTTCCTTTTTTCCTGGTAACTTATTGTTTGATCACGTAAAAGGTCCGCGTTAAGAAAGAAAGGCAGAATTCTTGCCCTTTTTATGTTTGTTTCTTTTCCTCCTTCCTTACCGGAAAAGAAGAAGCTTATCATAGAGTCGAAGGTGAGAGGCAGCTCATACGAAGCTTCAAGATAGGTGGGTTTTTGATTGACCCACAGGGAACGTAATTGTGACTTGGTTTGTTTGTTAACTCATAACTGCATTTCTTGCTTTGGGATCCTTCCCCTTCATCTCCTTTTTCGTGGAAAAAATACCGAAGGTAGCGGAGGGTTTCTTCAAACAAGAAGGACCGAGTAACAAATTCATACCATTGACATTTGTTAAAAAAATAAGACAATCATAATCTAGTATTTATGAACAAAAACTGCGCTTGTTTTGTCAACACGATGTAATTAGAGCACAAGAATATATAGGAACTGATGATAAGACTTTTAAGTATTTTTGTAACAACTTAAGGGTATCCAACTCCAAATGGCTGTGAGCTTACACAATGCTTTCATGATGAAAAGAATAAATAATTAATCCTTGTAGTTGAAGCAAATCTGTGCATCAATAACAGTCGCGGGTTTATTACGTCCATTAACAAATGTAGAATCTTCAGGATATGGCTAATTGATTAAGTTGGACATTCCATGAGAACACATTATAAGATGTTGGCATGCGGAAAACAAACGCAAAACCCTTCAATTAGTTATTAAGGTATATAAAATGCTACTGCTACTATATAAGAAAGAGAGCCTACGGGCAAAAGGTACAATATTGTCTTGAAGCAAGCGTAGATTTGGAACTCGGAAGTCAATGACCATTGTCATCATATATTCAATAAAAGATGACAAGAAAATCAGCGCCCAACAACCACTCTGAACTGTGAAGTCTTGCAGTCACAGCATTAGAGGTGAAGATATCTCAAACGTGGGAGAACATATACATTGACGACCGTGTTTGAAGTTGTCAACCAACGGTTCCCCCAGTGAAATGTAACGAGATATTAGAATATATATTATTAGATACTATCATTAAAGATATGAGTGGATTAAACGTGGAAATCACCAAAGTAGAAGAGTTATTTCCTAATATTTTTTCGTTCCAAAATAAGTGTTTTGTTTGATATCTTTGAGTCGGAGTGATATTGTTTTGAAAAAATTGCATGGATCGAGCTATATTAACGTATCTCTCTCATCAGATTCATAGGTAAAATACAAGAGTATTTTGAAAGAAACAAACAGTGGCTAGAAATATCTAATGGTATATATATAGTCACTAACAAAAAGGGACAGTTCATCAGAAGCAATCTGATGGAATGCTGCGGTAATCCCACAAGATCTCATTCAAACAATCATTGCTCTATTGGCTTGTCCCCAGAAATGTTTACAGAAGATGAATAATTGTAGTGTGATGATATTAAGGAAACGGCTCTCCAGAGAACCCGAACCGGCCCCGAGAAAATTCTAGAAACCACAGGAGAAATTTCTTAACCCCGCCCTCCAGAAATTCCAAGACGCGGTGATAAATTAAACCCCATAATGCCACATAAAAATAACAAAAAACGCACTCATCCATCCTCAATCGTAATCAGAATCTGGGTAAAAACATTTTAAGATAAATTACTGATGAATTAAGCAGATAATTTTATTATGCGGATGCGGGACCGACTATGATCAAACATATGAGAAACGGGTTTCAGATAATTTTTCTTTTCAACAACACCAATTAATCATCAGTTAGACGATTCAAAAACCCAAAGATTATTATTATTATTATAACTAAAAAAACATCATTAAGAAAAACTTAAGGAAAGAGTTGCGGTGGCTAATATATATATATATGTACATACATCAAAAAAAAAAAAAAAAAAACAGATCAATTACGACATAGTTTTCGAGTTTTCGCAATCAATCTGAAACCGAAGAAAGATAAGATAATGAATCTTCATGATCATCATCATCATCATCATCAAACTAGCCTAGCTTTCTTGTTCTTACCCGCTGCCGCGGCTTTATTCTTCTTCTTATCATTGTTTGGGGACAAAGGCTTGGTCTCCGTGTAGATATCGAGAATGGATCGGAACTTGCGATTCCTTGGTGGGCAAGCTTCGTCATCCAAGTTCTCGTCCTCAATCATTGTGTTCCTCATGGCCGAAGATATTTCGACGCTGTCTTCATCTCCTTTGTCCTCAAACCCGCCATTATCGTTATTGTTGTGGCTGGGGGCGGAGCAGGCGGAGGATTCGCCGCTGAGCTGAATCAACTGGAGAGCTGCGTCGACTTCCGGTTCCGAAAGACGGGAAACCATCTGGGTTTTCTGCTTTTGCGATGCTAATCTCGTCATTCAAGATTTTCAGAGGTTTGAATGAAATAATACGAACAAAGAGGAGAAAAAAGGCGAACGAAAAAACAATAATAGAGAGAGAAATAGGAGGGACCAGAGATGCTTAAATAAGTATTTTTTTTTTTAATTTTATTTTCTTGTGACTGAGGGGATACGGGAATTAATTGCTGACCAAAATCTTTATTCCTCGACTTCGAATGGTACTTGACTACTTGTATACAATTACCTCTTCTTCTTCTTCTTTTTTTTTTTTTTTCGATTCCAGCGTTTAATTGCTCTGGAAAAAAAATATATTTTTTGGGTGTATGGGAAAGTATGAAGGATTTAATTTTAAGTTTTTTTTTTCAAAAGAATAATGTTTTATATTCTTGAATTATGAAATTCGATATATAATCAAACCAAAAAGAAATGGACGTATTATACACTTATATAATTAGCTTTGGATTTGCAAAAACACCTATCCGATTTTGAGCTTTAACCCTAGTCGGCCTTCAAATTTACTCCGTTCAACCCAAGGTGAGAATATTATTTATCATACTATAAAGTAGATCAATGATTATAATTCTTGTTTTGAAAGGTACGAGAGTTGAATAAATATTACCTTGTAATAGTGAGAGATATTATTATAATATATATTGTAACAAGCCACATATACATTAGGCTATATTAGTACTTTTCTGGTTCTAAAATAATTGTCCCAAAATTTTTGCCTATTTTTATTTCTATTTTTAATACAATTTGTACTGAAAGTAACATTTTAAAATGGACAATTTTCGGAACGGTGAAGATATTTATTTTCTTTGTTAAATAAAAGAAGACATATAGACTACTATATATAAATTATTTATAATATATAGTACATTTCAGAGCTGATTGATAAATTTCGACGAATCATGTCATAATCATTGAATCACCAATATAAAAATAATTATTACAATATAAAATATCTCTTCCGTCTCAAGAAAAATAATCTATTTTTGAATTTTGAAATGTATATTAAACACAGTGCAAATAGATTATTATTTTAGAAAGAGATATTAATGTTTCAACTCATTGAAATTATTAAGGACATCCAAAATCAACAATAAAGTTCGGTTCTCGATGAACATTTTTAACATGAACAAATTTACCAATCCCATGATGATAAGGCCCATCGATATGCTTCATTCTTCAGGTTCGCCACCTGTCCATCCCGGCCGATAACACTAAGGCTTTGTTTGTTTTCTTCTCTTAATGGTGTTTTTAAATGAAAATATTATTAATTATTTTATTTCAGCATAACTTTTACATTTTCAATATATATTTTTACATTCTTAATACAAAAAACACCTAAAATCTCACATAAAAAACGAAACAAACAAACCCTAAATATCATCAATATATATATATATATATATATATACATACTCCGGGGCTATTACTTAAACATTTGGCAACCTAGATATCCATCCTAGTTATTATATTACAGAACTTAAAACTTAAAAGAGACCCGTAATTCCATAATGCATGGTGATATGCCATTCAAATGCAGCATCACATTTTTGTTAAACTATATAATAGGCCGTGAATTAATACCGCCACGGTGCACAATAGTATGTAACTTTTTTCTTTAATTTGCCAAAATTTGTTTAACAACGAGCAATAAAAGTAATATCATTCTTCAATCATCGAGTGGATCACATGCATTATTCGAACAATTTCTTTTTACCTTCCCATGAATGAAAATGGGTTTGATCTTAGGAATCGTTTAAATTCGGCTAGCTAGCTTAACCAGAAAAATAAGATAGGTATTGTTAATATTATTATTTGTCAGTTAATTTAACTAATATAACCCGTTTTAATTAGACGTGTTAATGTCTTGACACGTACTAACTTTTGGATCATTATTAGAAAGGTGTCCAAGAATTCATTATTCAATTATTACCGAGTCAAATTTCAGAAACAAAGAAATAGTATTACGTGAGTAATCATTCTGGCTCAGCCTTGTTTTTGCGACGACCAAAAACGTAACCAAAACTTTCAAAGAAATTTCAAAGTCCACCACACAAAGTTGTTGCATTCTCAAAGCAGCCGGAACCCTTTGCTCGTCATCTTTACCTAATGATCAATCAATTGAGCTTGGTCCTTTTGTTGTAATTTGTCTCGCTCACTGTTCTTGGTTGCTAATATAATACTCCTTCTCGTCCTGAAATTATCGTCCAATTTAAATTTTTATTTTTTGTTTAAATTGTATTAATAAAAGTGAAAATTTAAATTGGACAATAATTTTAGAACAATTACAAATTAAATTAAAGGGTCACATTCTAAAGTAGTCGTACAATTATCTTTCCGTTATAAGTTGCTCTTGTTATAACATGTCATGACTATTTGTTTTAGAAAAAGAAAATACATTTGCAAGGCAAAGAAGCATGTATTTACATAAGGGTGCGATCGATAGTTCAGTTACAGTCTTAACCATGCATGACATAAGGAGTATGTCAATTCAATGGATGGAGCTTGCCTAACTCTTTGAATGACCTTGTCAACCAGCACTGTTATAAGTGAAGAAATGATATTTTGGGGTTAGCCATGAAAGCATCTTAGTGTGCATCGATTTATTTTGTGTGGAAAGCTAGAAATAACTTTATTTTCAAGAATGAAGCTGCAGAGGTTTCGAAAGTGGTCTAATAGGTTATTTTTCACCTTAAAATTCAATATGTTTTCTATTGAGAGAGTTCGTAATTCTTTGAAAGTGTTAGTTTGGTGTAATAGGATTCACTTGTCTCATGCGATAATAAGTAGAAAATGCTAAACTCTGTGATTTTGCCGCATTTTTATTTGATGTGTTGTGATGATTGGACATGTTCAAATATAAACAAATTCTTGATACCTGGTAATGAAATTAACCTTTTTTACCAAAATATATATATATATATATATATATACACGACTGACAAATTCTTGATACCTGGTAATGAAATTAACCTTTTTTACCAAATTCTTGATATATATATATATATATATAGACGACTTAATATCATTTAATTACCATCCCTACATGTTTGTCAGTCAACACCACATAATCAACGTGAGATCGTAACATAATTAACTTTTAAATGAATCGATAAGTTTCAAACAGAAGAGGGGAAGAAAATAGTTCTACAAAATTGCTTATCTAATCATACTTCAATTTTTGATCACTTAGATTCCAACTTTAAAAAATGGGAAGGATTATATATAACACCATATAATATATGTTGAGGTTGAGGTTTCTGTTGTCTCTTTCAATCGCAACCTGGGAGATGCAGTTGAATTGTTCTTTATTCAAACAACTTTCTCCCAGCAAGAACATGTCGCCAAGCCTACGGAATTGTAAATACAGTTGCAACTTTTAGCGCGGATTTTTATACTCCCTCCGTCCCATAATTATTGTCCACTTTGACTAAAAAATTTTGTCCCAAAATTATTGTCCAATTTGACTTTTTATGGATCAAGTTACACATTTGTCCTTAGTAAAAAATATTATCCATAAAATCTTAGTGGTTAAACAATTACTTATGTAGGGGTATATCCGGTTGTTTAAGGTGAAATATAATTAAGTTTGACCAAAAATAAAATCTTTCATTTTAGTAAAACTGGACAATAATTATGGGACGGAGGGAGTACAATTTATTATACCACCTTGTAAAATGGACAAGGTAATTAAGGTCCTAATCCAATGAACAATGAGACCATTAAGGTTGCCGACTGCTTTAATTAACATATATTTACACTGTCTCAAAATGATTATCCAGTTGGGAAAAATAAAATTTTAAAATTAGATAATTATTTTAAGACGGAGAAAGTATAAATTTTTTTTTAGTACAATTAAGGAGACAGAAATCCAAAAACCTAGCTATATATTATAAAAAGACCATACTTCCAAGTTCAGGGACTGATAACCCTTCATTTTCTTCTGTACAGATCCTACAAATTGATGCTAATTGGTGAAATGGATAAATTAAATTATGAATATTCATCAGCCGAAAAGAACAAATTGAGTTAGGTTTATGTACCCCGGAGCAAAGATCCAAGTTATGAAGAACTTTGAAGATTGTGTGCACATAGTTTCCTTTTTTTACTAATTTATTTCCTTTATCTTTTCCTGCAGTCACACAGTTTCCGAAAATGGAATAGACGGCGGGGGTGAAATTAAAAACGTAAAGCAATCGTGTGTGCAGAGTCGCCGTGAAACGTAAGCAAAATACTTTAACTGACGGCAATTACGTACGTGTTCTTCTCTACTCAAAAACTTGCTCTTGAAGTTGAAGGATAATAATATATATCGACTGAGACAGAAATTTCAACACAGTTTAAAAGGGAATTAGAAAAATATTTTGCATACACTAATATTATTACTATGCTATTTATAAATATAAGAGAGTATATTTACAATAAGCCAAAAAAAAAAAAAAAAACCATTTCTCTCGATGTGATGCAAAATTGAAAAAACTAACACTAGCTAAAACCGGAAAGAAAAAAACGTACGTGCCGAGTCGGAATTATTGGATTGTCGACCGTCGGGGTAGTGGCTGGGTTTTGGATTTCTTGGTGACCGGAGAAGGGTGGGTACGAGCGTACAGATCGAGAATGGATCGGAACTTCCTCTTTCTCCTCAAAGGGTACCCTTCAATTTCTCCACAACCCATTTCTACCGATTCATCATCATCAGCATCGACAAGATCCCGCTTTTGTAACTCGGCCGGCCGGAAAAACGAGGAGGAGGAGGACAGCGGCAGCCGTACTTCCCGACCACCACCACCAGCCACCGCAGTAGCACAGAAGCTTTCCTCCTCCTCATCATCATCTCTCGAAAGCTTCGCCAACTTCTTAATACTATTATTATCAGCGTCTCCTTTATTGCAGCTGCTGCTGCTTCCGGCGGGTCCGGGGGAGTCAATTGCGGAACGGCCCGAATGAGAAACGGAGCCGCTGAGTTGGATCAAGATATCGGCGGCGTCTAATTCCTCCGGCTCACTCATAATCATCCACTTCATCCAGTACTGGTTCATCAACCCGGTCATCGTTATCATCATCCCGTCGTTTTCAGTCGGTATCTTTTCGGCTTCTCCGGGTTCCTCCAGAGGACTACTACTAAGGGTCATTTGATGCTGGTTTGGGACAGGTGTATGGATTAAAATGATCTACAGGGAAAAAAAGGAATGGATGTGGGTGTGGGTGTAACTTCTCTTTTGGGGAGTTGGGGGCTTTTATAGGCAAAATGGTGAATTGACGTTCACCGCCTTTCTTTTGGGTTTAAGGACTGAGGAGGAGGATGAAGAGCACAAGCAAGCAAAGATGAGAGAAACCCTGGGAAATTAATTGAATAATAATAATAAATCTTCCTATCTTTCTTTCTCTCTACTAAAGCGGATTGGTGGGCCCCTCTTCCTCGTCCATCATCACCATGGATGAATTTTGTAAATTCGAATTTTTGAATTTTGTCTGTCACATCAAAGCAGCTTGATATATATATTTTTTTTATTGTTCGTAAGGATTTTTGCTAAATGGGCCAAATTCTTTCTATTGGGCTTGTAGCTCTTCAAAGCCTTCTTTTCACCTTTCCTCTGAACTCTCTCACTCTGTAGTGCTGTGTTTCATTTCTTACCTTGGAAAATTATTATTGGATAAGATGAAATAGAACTGTAGAACTAACGGTTTAAGCTGAGAGTTTTGCAAATTTTCAATGACCCAAGTACCGTTGGTGTTACTTTTATGTGCATACTGCAAGAAATAGTCAAATCTGCTCTTGCTGAGAGTTTTGCAACTTTTGGTGTGATACAGAATTTGCTGAATTCTTGGCTACCCTAACTATATTTAGCCGGAAACGGAAGGGAAAGGTAATGGGGGTACAGTAGAAGCATTTCCTTGTTTAGGAGCAGACATATAGGGTCCATCGACCTCAACCAGTATTTGGTTTCCTAGCATGCAATGCAATGTGCTTCATGCCTAGTAATCAAGCTCTGCATCAGTGTCCAAAGGCATGCTTCCTGCATAAGGAACTTTCTGCTTTTGCAGAACATCCAACGGTATATTGCTTAAGGACCAGATGCATTTCATTCTCTTGTACCAAACCATTGGTTTGGCGTTGTCATCATCACCAAAGTCAAATCGACGCTGCATTTCCTCTTTTGGTGTAGTCCCGTCACGTATATTTGCTGCCTATCAAGCGCCCAAATTGTGAGTCATTCCTTTGCCACCTGCTGAGATTTTCCTGTTCGTTCAGCCCCAGAGAAAAGTAAATAGAAGATGCAATTGCAGCAACTTCATCAATCATTACCTGACTCTTGTAGATTTTTCTCCTCCATTGCTCCATGCCCAAGCACACGATAAGCAAAAACCGGCTTTTTCTGTCCGTAACTGCAAGTATATGATATGTTACATAATAATAGTTGTATATAATCAAAGGACAAATAGCCTGAACAGCATATGTTTGTTTCCAGGAATTATCAACAAAAAGATTACACCATTAGCAGCATGAAAATTGATACCCTAATATTCAACTCTAGTTGATATCGACTGATGCAGCGTCTCAAATGACTATGCCACCAAGGGAACTTTACTAATATAAAGCATTCATATGGATATCCCTACATTCAGCTACGAACTAAGAGTTACTACTATTAGATAAGGTAAAAAGCCATTCATATGAAAAGTAAAAATTACCAGTTATGCTGTGATCAAACAGTTACGGTATGACATACATCCCCATTGACAAAACTGAATAAGCTGATTAATGATTATTGTGCACAGTTTTCACCAGAAGGATTAGCATTTAATCAACACCACAATGTAAACTATACCTATATCTTTCCTGTGTCCTACTACTTTTTGCTCCTTTATATTTTTTTGACCATAAAATTGTTTATAAGATTGGACAAACAATCAAAAATATTCCAATGGAATATAAAAACAGTACTGTGAATGAATCCAAATTATCTAAACAAAACAGATCACATTACAAAGAAGCGCAGCAACATCATCAAATGTAAGAACTTATGCATATATGTTAGAAAATAAAATAACGAAAATCACTCACCCTGCTTGTAAGAATGCAAATTCATGTTAACGCAGGTTAGCCTGTAAGCAACCAACCATCCCAATGGAAAAGATGGTGAAGGTTAACCCTCAATCAGACAGCCACTGGAATGTCTATCTTGTCCTTGACAAGCTCAGGCCTTTTACAAGCCGGAACGGCTTTTTTAATTCCTTCTGACGCAGCTCTTTTTATCCTGTAAGCTTCATTTGGCTTCCCAGCCTTAAGAAGACAAGATACTAAAGATTTAATTGTAATTTCATCAGGAACACAACCGACTATCAGCATCTTGTCGAAGAGGTCAATTGCCTCACAGATCCTTCCTTTCATACAATGACCTAGGATGAGAATCGTAAAAGTATACTTATCTGGACTGCATTTTTTTGCTTCCATTTCCGCAAAAATAGCATTGGCTTCATCAACATTTCCTGCCTTACAAAAACCATCAATCACAGGGTTGTAGATAAATGCCTTTGGTATGATATCGTCTCGCCAGAATAATTGTCGCAATAAATCGCGAGCCTCGTTAATTCTATTCTCCTTACATAAAGCCCCAATAACTATGGAGAAAGTATAGACATTAGGAAACAGCTTTTTTGCGGTCATTTCATCCCACAGCTTCAGACCTTGGTCTAACTCTCCAATCTGACAATGCCCACTAATGAGAGACGTAAAAGTAATGACATCAGGACAACAATTGAGATCGGCCATTTTATCAAGCATCTTCAAAGCTGAACCCATGTCTCCAGACTTGCCAAATCCATCAATAAGAATATTCAAAGTTACTAAATTAGGTCTAATTCTATGCTGAATCATCTCATCCAAGAAAGCAGTAGCCTCCTCCATCTTTTCCAATTTGCAAAGACCGGATATAACTGAAGTATAGGTCACAACATCAGGTGCAACCCCAACTTGTGATTGCATTTCCCTCAACAAATCCACGGCTCTATCCACATTACCACCCATGCATAACCCGTTTATAAGAGAATTGTAAGTTATTCTATCAGGCGAACACCCAAAAGTACTCATATCATAAAAAAAATCAAAGGCCTTACCAGCCTTGCCAGTCCGGCACAATCCTCCAATGACAATATTGAAGCTACAAGTATCAGGATGAAATCCCCCTAACCTCAGAATATAATCTTGAAAAAAACTAACTGCATCATCTACTCTACTTCGTTTCACTAACATGCTCAACAAAATATTATGTACAACAGAACTAATGATCATCTCTTTCTCAATGCATAACTGGGCCTGCGAAACCAAAATTTCTTTTGCCAACCCAAACTTGCTAGCATTCCCTAAACTAGATATTAAACATTCCAAAACCGGTCTATCCGGTAAACATCCATCATTATTCATACACTGTAGTAACAATTCAGCCAAATCAAGATGACCCATTTGACAGAGTGACCTCAACAGCAAATTAGAAGAAGAAACTGAATGAACGAGGTTCAAATTGAGCCTCGTAAACTGAAAGAATTCAAATGCTAGTCTCGGGTTATTAAAACCGTAATTTAATTGCTGAATGGCAAAGAAAGCAATCGTTGGATTCAAATGATTCCGAAAATAATCCGAGCAAAAAACGGTCAAATCGTCAGAATCACAAACAGTTAGAGTGCATACTACTTTGACGAACCAAAGCGTCTCAACTCTGGGGAAGGGTGATTCAACAACGGAGCAGGAACCATGAAAGCAACGGGCAACAGATTTGAAGGCAATCTTATTGGACGCCCTTCGGATCCAAAAGGGCATTATTTCCAAAGACTTGGTGAGGATAAGCTCTTGTATTTTGATACTCGAACTCTTTTCATGAAGAATCCAGACTGATTTATTTATGCCATTCTGGTTTCTCTCAATGCGGAAGAAAGGTTTAGGGTTGAAAGAAAAGGAAATCGGAAGACGGAGGAAGGATGCCGGAGGGGGGACCGGAGAGATGGGGATTCACGGCGTTCGATGAAGCACCGATGTTAGGGTTGCGGCCAAGGCGTCCGGCAAAATGGTCATCTCCCGGCTTTGGCAATGGTGTGGTTAGCAGGCGCATTTTGATATGAATTAGGGAAGACTGAAGAAGAGGGACTATTGAGGCTAAAACTGGAATTTCGCTGAAGTTTGGGTGCTTTTGGAATTTGGCCTAAAGAAAAAAAAGAATATTGAAGAAAGAAAAGGAAATAAAAATAAAACCCAACAACTTTTAAAATGGACAAAAAATAGCTCTTAAACCTCTGTGCTGGAATCTAAAACCCTCACATTGCCCGGCGGAGGAATAGGTGAAAAGCTGTTTTCTCTTTTCTCTCTCGTTCTTTGGGTAAGAGAATTGAGAGAATGGCAATGGACAAGAACAAGGTTGAAGAGGAAGCTATTATTAATCGCTTCTACAAAATTGTGCTGAGTTGGGATTACTTTCGCCTGCTCAAAGAATCTGAAGTAAAAAATCTTATTGAATTAATCTTCTTTTTGTATTTTTTTTTTATTTTTTATCTCAGTTGTTTTTACGTATGCGATCGTTTTTGGCATTGATCATCAGTTTTGTTAATTGTTTTGAATTACGTTGAAGCAGAAGGTGAAAAGCAATTCGGCTGATTGGAGTAGTCTGGGCTTGAACGAAGTGAAGAACACGTATAAGGATGCGGAAGATTACATTAACACATTTGAGCCTCTGCTTTTTGAAGAGGTTAAAGCTCAGATTATCCAACGAAAAGACGAGGAAGAGGGTATTTTTTCTTTTTTCCTAATGGTTTTTCTTCTTCCCTTTTACATGGTAGTCCGTTGGCATTCTTTGTGATTCTTTAAGAGTTTTTTATTTGCTTTTAAGACTCTGCTTGTCTTCTAAAATTCCATGTAGTTAGGTATTGCGTATTGTGATGGCTTGTTTTGCTTTCTGATGTTGAGAAAGAGTTATTGGTTATTCAAGTTTGGGTTTTCTTCTGGAGTTTTAAAACTAAGTTGGGTGATATTTGCAGCAACCGAATGGGTGCTAGGGATCATAGCAGAATGCGGAGAGGTCAATGGATTTTGCCAACCACTGGTCATGTATGACAGTAACGAATCCATTGCACAAAACGATTTATTACTGTTATCAAAGGAGAAGGTGAACATTCTAAGTTTGTTACTCATTCAGTGCGTGTTTTCCAATAATTCCTTGAATTCTAAAGAGGCAAACTACGAACAGACAGAATGGTGTTCGGATATAGTTTGAAACTGCACTTCGTATTGCAGTTCAGAAGAAAAAAAAAGTGTTCCTCACTGATGTTAGATGCCGTTTTCTTTGCTCTGCAGTTTGGAGAGAATAAGAAACTCCCAACGGCATACGCCTTTGCTCTTGTTGAGCATCGCCAACAAGATAAAATTAGACTTAGGATGAATCTGAGTGGAGAATACAAAGGACTGAACACAGATGATGTCGAATCCTGCCAAAGGCTACTGAATATGCACCCTCTGGTTACTGATGTGAAGGGATATATACATTTTAAGAAGGTAATGGCCATCCACTTAGCTTTTTCGTTTTATTATAGGAATCAATATCTAGTAATGTGTAGACATAAGTTTGTCAAACAGCTAATGTGTTCAAGGTAAAATTAATACAATATGTTCAAGCTAAAATTAATAAAAAAAGTCAGCTGTAAAGGTCCTACCTATTCTAGGTAGAAAGTTAATATTGATAGGAGGGGGAAGGCCTATTAACCTGTCCTTCTCACTTTCATTCCACATTAATTAAACTCTGTACTCTGAGATTTTCACATTTCTCATTCATTTATTTGCAGGTTAGTAGTTTGTCTACAATAGTCCGAGAATATGTTGCTCTGAGGTCAGTTAGCTCTCTTCCATTCAGGGATTTGATACTAACAGCAACTGACAACAACGATGATGCTGAAGATCGAGCGTGGAAAATATCTAGACCTCTTAAGGAGTTTATTGAGAGCAATCACAATGCTTCACAAATTGAAGCCATAAATGTGAGTTTCCTTGTACTAATTATCTTCTTGTTTCATTCGTCTGTTTTATGTAAGTCAGTGCAGGGTGCGAATTAATAATTTGCTTTCAACTTTCCACCCTGTCACTCAAAACTTTTTGGCCAAGATTTCTGGGGATTGAAGCTCTACGCTGAGCTTTTAAGTTATAGCAGTTGACATCAGTAACAAAATTCAGCCAATACTCATTTCTGCATTTCATATGTTTGTCCTCTTACAAAGTGTTACTGTTTACTGCAGGCTGGGCTTTCACGTAGAAAATTTGTTCTGATACAGGTTTGATCCAATCACCTGCTCTTGATTTTTGCAAGTTTACGCAGCAAGTTTTCCCTTATTTTTTGGTTTACTTAAAATGAAGATGGAGATTGTCCTGTCCTAATGTTGACCTTCAAACAACTGTATTCTTCTCAGGGTCCCCCTGGAACTGGAAAAACACAAACTATTCTTGGGCTTCTTAGTGCCGTTCTACATGCTACTCCAGCTAGAATACACTCTGACAGGTTTAACTCTGACATGACCCCTTAAAAGATTGTTAAAGTTAGAAGATAATCATGAAATAACAAAATTATGGGATTGATTGACTCTATATTTCAACTTTTGCAGAGAAAAACTGGGTGGAGTAAAGCGTCGTCCTGAACTTACACCGCAGGAGAAGTATGTATTCGTGGACTCACCTAACTGTTCCTGGAATTTATTCATATATATATATATTATTTTTATTTTTTTGTTTTTTGGCAGTGCACCTGCTTTAGATGTTTAAAAGAAACCTAAGGCGAAGTGTGTTTGAATGGATTTATGATTTTTAATGGTGCATTTGATATGAAGAGATGAAATTGTCGCAAATCTTCCTTTCGCAAATCTTCCTTTGCAGTTTGCTTCAAATATATTATGGTTCTTGTTTTGATGCGCTAAAAGTTCAAATAACTGTTTATTCTGCAGATACTATCATTGGCTTAAAGCTTGTCCATGGTTAACCGGTATCAATCCTAGAGATAGGTTGATGCCTATGGATGGTGACAATGGCTTTTTCCCCACAACTGGCAATGAGTTGGTATGTTTTAGTTTTCCTTTTGGTACTGTTGGGTTGGGGATCCATTGTCTAACACAAGTATTATACAGAAACCAGAGATGGTTAATTCCAATCGGAAGTATCGTGTTCGTGTTCTGGTATGTGCTCCGTCAAATTCTGCCCTTGATGAGATTGTTTCTCGAGTTTATTATTCTGGTTAGTATACTTTCTTCATGCTTCTCTATTCCTGATCTACTATTTGACCATGTGGAGTTTCGATACTGTGCACTTCGATGGCTGTTTATGCCATGTTGTGTTTTGCCTGTTGTTAAACTCGTGTAGCTTTCCCTGAAACTTGATTGCATTATGGGAGATCTCTTCCCCGAATTTTGGTCTAAATCTAATTACAAATGAGCACTGTATGTGTCTGTACTAAATTCCTAATTTTGTGCTTGTAAATTTACTTACAAACTTATCTCCTCAAAGATTTGGATAAATCTCCTTCATGGATTTGTTGCCTGACTAAATTTTTCTTTCTTGCAGGCATTCGTGATGAAAATGACCGTAGCTACCATCCGAAAATAGTCCGAATTGGAATTAAACCACATCATTCTGTTCAGTCGGTTTCAATAGATCACTTAGTGGGTGCCTTTCAGCCAAAACACCTTACCAGGGTACTATGTTCCTTCCGATATTTCATTATAATTAACATGTGGATAAACTGTTCCAAATGCAGGTGGAACAGAAACTTGCAGGTATGGACTCTCAGAGTGGTGATAAGCAGAAGCAAGGTGGGACACTTAAGGACAAAGACAGTATACGAGCTTCTCTTGTCGAGGAAGCAGTTATTGTATGTAATGTTGAGTCCATCAATTGTTGTTAATTAACTGATATCATATATTAACTCCTTGACTGTTTACAGGTGTTTTCCACTCTCAGTTTTAGTGGTTCTCATGTTTTCAGTAAATTAAACCGGGGCTTTGATGTTGTCATCATTGATGAAGCTGCTCAAGCTGTAAGGCTCATAATCCTTTCGAGTTATACTTATGTCACACTCCCATGTTGTACAATCCACTGCACCAGTGATTCTGACATTCTCCCTCATGTGTTGTAATGTACTTAGTTGAACTAACTGTTCTTGAATGTGCTGAAATCAAACTCATTTTGATTCCTTATTTCCTTCTGGACAAAAATCTGCTTGAAGAAAGCAAACTTGGCTTTAATTGTTTTAACTCTCCTTCTCCAATAGGTGGAACCAGCGACACTTGTTCCATTGGCCAACGGATGCAAACAAGTATTTCTGGTACATATTACTGGATCTATTTTAGTCTGTTAATGGTTATCCTAACCTCTCCATTGCAAGTGAAAATAAGATAGTAAACAAAGGTAACACAAGGTAGCATAGGGTATGAGATCTAGTTCTTTGGCAGAAATTGGTAAAGTAAATTTTACTCCCTCCGTCCCATTCTATCAGTGCTCTTTGTCGAAGTATTTTGCTGATAGAGCTGTAACAGAGAGAGTGTATTGAAGAGTATGTTGCAATTAAAAGAAAAACAGAAAGAGTATATTGTTGATAGAGCTGAAACAGGACATTGCTTGCAAGAAAGATATTGAAAGATAGAAAGTTCAAGCTTAATTATTTAGATATGATTCTTTTCTGGAGCTCACGAAATATTTGTCTTGTCTTTGTTCCTAGGTTGGGGATCCAGTTCAGTTGCCGGCCACTGTTATCTCTACTGTTGCTGAAAAGTTTGGGTAGGTTTGCTGTGATATTTTGTACTCACTCCGGTCCTATTTACAAGCCATGTATAACCATATCTTCAAAACCAAGAAAAGTTAGTTTAGTTAGTTATATGTCTCAAAATTAGGCGTGATTACCTATATTACCCCTATTGAAATCTGTCTTCAAGGTTTGAAAGGTTGGTTAACCTTGATAGTATTGAATTAGATAATGGATAAATTTGGAAGCACACCCTAACTTAAACCTTAAAATCATCAAATGCCTTATAAATGGAACCAAGAGAAACCTTTTAAAAATGCCTAATAATAAGTACCGAAGGGAGTATTATTCATGTTTGTTTGTTCTGATAGCATATTCTTTCATCCTCTTTTGAAGATATGGGATGAGTTTGTTTAAAAGATTCCAGAGAGCTGGCTATCCTGTCCAGATGCTAAGGACTCAATATCGCATGCATCCAGATGTATGTTAAATTCAGCTGCTTCCTTTATTATGATTTACCTGATGCACTATTGTTCTTGCTTCAGGACAACAGTTGTTTTTCTGCTATTACTACTGATGTGTCCTTTAATCTTAGTCTGGTTATCCTTAATCACTAATTGGTTTGTTCTTTTCCATTAATCCTATTCAGATAAGGTGCTTTCCTTCTAAGGAATTCTATGACAATGCGCTGGAGGATGGACTTGATGTTAGGATCCAAACAAAGCGGTCGTGGCACGAATATCGTTGCTTTGGACCTTTTAGCTTTTTCGATATTCATGAAGGAAAGGAGTCCCAGCCTTCAGGGAGTGGCTCTTGGGTTAATTATGATGAAGTTGAGTTTGTTTTGGCAATGTACCATAAACTGGTGACTAGATACCCAGAGCTCAAGTCAAGTTCCAAACTTGCAGTCATAACTCCGTACAGAAATCAAGTCAAACTCTTTCGCGATAAGTTCAAAGAAACTTTTGGTACTGAATCAGAAAAGGATGTGGATATTGGCACAATTGATGGGTTCCAGGTAGGAATTTGATCTATACTGCATTGTGTGTTGTAGAACTCAAAGTAGAGTTACAATTGATATTTTCTCTATGGGGAGCTTTTACGCTTCCTGAATCATCACATATGGTGTACATGGCCTGACCAAAGCTTTTTAGGGTCGAGAGAAAGATGTTGCAATATTTTCCTGCGTCCGGGCGAGTAAAGAGGGGGGCATTGGATTTGTGGCTGATTTTAGGAGAATGAATGTTGGAATCACTCGGGCAAGGTCTTCAGTTCTGGTATGGCTCCATTCATGTTAATCTGATGTTTTCAGGAGGCGTGATTTAAGAATGTTTCAGGCACTACTCTCAAATATTAAGGGTTTGCTCTTCATTGTTTTACTAGGTGGTTGGTTCAGCGGCAACATTGAAAAGAGATGAGCATTGGAAGAACTTGGTCGAAAGTGCCGAGAAGGGAAATGCAATTTTCAAGGTAAGCAACCATAACTGGAAGAAAGAATGATTCAAAATTGGTCCATTATGCAGTTAATAGCAATCGCCACAAATTCTTCATGGACCTGTGTTTTTTTGGTCACTGTATAGTTGGTGCAACTTCAGCCTGACCTTTCCTTTCTGAAACCAGTGGTTTTACTTATTTAATTAGCTGTGCTCGCCTTTTCTCTCAACCCACCGAGAACTGTTTAAAAGACAGAGTGATGCATTACATATTGTCACTAATATTTTTTTCCTATAGGTTTCCAAGCCATACCCTTACTTCTTCAGCGATAGCAATCTCAAAACATTTGAGGTAAAGAAAGCCATGCCAGAGAGATTTGAAGCAGGCCCTGAAGATATGGCTGTTGACGGTGCTCCTGATTTAGATGAAATGGTGCAAGCAGAAGAGCCTGACTGGGGAGAGGCTGGAGATGGAGAGGGTTTTGATGGCGGATACGACGACTAAATTCTAACTATCCACCAAACAAAAGGATGGGGAGCTTAATTTACACTTAGATATTCTTCTAGTACAGAACATCCACCATTCATTATGTATCACTGATATCAATGACAGATAAACTACAGAGATTTATTTATACACTAGATGCAGCAACTTGTTCACATTTTTATACAAATCCATCATTGCGTTGCTTCTTGGTTTTGGTTTATAGCAGACAAAAGTAAAATGTGAACCACTGTAAATATAATGCAAACTACTTGTTGGCACGAAGCATCAAATTATGTTTCAGTTGTTCTACCATTTGCTTACATTGCACAACTTGAAAAATTTACAATTTCAAACTGGAAATCTAAGAATTCACAGCCTTAAGCTATTTTCTGAATGCAACATTTGGGGATAATTGAAAAAGAACTTACACTATGGCAGATTAGGCATTAGCGGCATTGCAGCATGTTGTTCTGGGGTTTGCAAAAACTGATTCACGGGTAAATGCATAAGCAGGCACCGCATCTGGAACGCTGTCGTGGCCGAGTTCATCAATTATTGCGCATCCAAAGTTCGCCTCATCTAACGGCTCACATTTCTCCCACGGTGTTCTTCCCATCATCACTGCCATCTCCTCCGTTGCAGTGATCGGAATAAGATCCGGGAACTTATTCTTCAGTTCATCCACTTCAGTTAGAGACAATTCGTTACCGTTCATCAGTGAACTTAATTCTGAGCTCGTTGTAACCATATGGTCAGCTTGGCTCTCAATTGCCGAGGGCGGAAAGGCCATTGGATCGTCATTTTCTGAGAATTCCGGCGCTGGTCCTGCTTCGCTGCTGGGAGCGGAGACTGTGGAAGTTGGAGGTCGCAGCCACAAATTATACGCCGGGGAAATTTGTGGAGGAAGATTAGGTTCCGCCGGGGAATACGAAGGGGGCAATCCGCCGCCCACCGGAGGTTCAGGCTCTGCAGAGGAGAAATCTTGGTAGTCTCCACCTATAGGACTCGGTGATTGGATGTACTCGGAAAAATTCAACGGCGAAGGTTTACCCAGACCTTCATTAGCTACAGGTGAGTTCAAGAAATCATCAAGCGAGCTCGCCGGCGAAGGAGATGGTGCTTTAGTATCCACGCCGGTTGCAGTAAGATTAGGGCCAATTTCAGCAGGGGAATTGAAAGATGGTGGAGGCGCGTTACGATTACCCGTCGGGGAATGAGACCGGGAATCTTGAACCGAGGCGCAATTAAGATTTCCTCTCAGGCCATGAACCGCGATGTTTCGGCTGTAATACAAGTCAGGCAAGACGACGCGAACTCCGTCGACGGTGATGAAGGAATCGGAGGTCGGATTTTCAAGCCGAACGGTTGCTCTGTGGTTCTTGACAAGAGTAGGGAGTGAGGAACCGGAAGGGAGTCGCCGGAGCTCAGGGAAGAGGACGCGGAGGGGTATGATGTGGCAGCGGAGGGCGGAGATGTATTCAGACGCCGTGTTGGTCATGTCGAGGGTGAAAAGAGAAGAATCCGTCGGAGCGAAGAAGGTGAAGGAGTCACCGGAGAGGACTTCGTAGAAGATGTCTGAGGTGGAAATGGCGTTGCTGAAGAGATTGTATCCCCTGCCTCTGAGAAGGTTTAGCATTGACTCCAATTCGTCGTCATGAACGGATAAGACAGTGGTGGAGACGATGAAGAGGAAGATCGTGACGGCGATGAGGCGCAGAGTGGATGACGCCATTGTTTCCGGCAAGTGATTTTGGCGGGATGCTCTGTTTCTTGAAAGTTAGGAATGGGAAGGGACGGATTCAGCCAAGTTTCTTGGCGGTTGTGGAATAGTGTGACGGTTGCAACAGATTTTGGGAAATGCCAGCGATATGTAACAGATAAATATAGAGGCCCATTCTTCATTTGGGCTTAGAGGAAATACATGGCCCTTTTGTGTTAAGGACCTGATTGCTATTCTACTTCAACGTTGAATGCGAGATTTTAATTTATGCTCCAGTATTACATTCCTAGATCCTACTATGGAAGTAAGAAAAAAATGGGAGAAATCTTTTTGAAATTCACTAAGTAGATTGGATTATATCTTACAAATTACAAAGCAAAAGTAATTTATGCTCCAGTATTACTCAATTTTTTTTCCTCTTTTTTTTTTTAAAAAAAAGAAAAATAAAAATTTGATTTACAGAAATTCACTAATAAGTAGATTGGATTATCTTACAAATTAATCTATTTCTTATGTCCCAAAATAATTATTCAGTTTTACTTTTAGCAGAGGTGATTTTATTTTCAAGTTATAAAGACAATCCAAATTACAAAGCAAAAGTCAAATTAGATAATGAGGAAAGCTATGTCACACGCAAATATGGAAAAGATGATTGATTGTTGATCAAAGATGTACAACAATTACCTTGCATTTCAGTTATTCTTTGGAGATTCTAAATTGGTACCTACTAACTAAGACTATAACTTCAATTTCAGTTATGGGTCAATAAATTTCCAAGAAACGTTTCCATTTGAGTTATGTTGGTATATTTTGTTTCATTATTTAGCAAAAATTGGAAGCTGAATTCAAACCTTACCGGAAAAAAAATAATAATAATAAAACGACCTGAAAAAACAGATTATCGAAAAACCATTTATTTCACTCTAAAGTGATTGTCTATTTAAAATCATTTTAGTACAGTGGGCGTACAATATATGAGACATAACTATATTAGTTTATAGAGTATTTGATGTATACGATAAATGGGCAGAAATCAGTATGAAGCGAGAACTCTGATTACTCTAGCAAAGGCAAAAGCAGAAAGAGGTACTGTACACTGCTGCTGATAGAGCTGCATCAGCCATCTCAATATGTTTTTTTTTTTTTTTTTTTTTTTTTTAAGGTGGAGCTCTTTCTTCGGGCTTGCTGGCTGAAGGAGACTTAATATACCTAAACCTAATATTTTGACTAACAAATATCGTTAAGCACTTGTACTCCACTTCATAATAACATCATCAACGTCAGACCCTAGTAAAAACTTTTGAGGACCAAAAGCTAGATACACCACGTCAATAAAATAAATCTCCCATCTCTTCAAAGAATTTCCAAACCTTTGTTGCCTCACTATATAGCGGCTCCCACATCTCCAATGCCTTTGAACGAACTTCATCATTGTCGTGCGTCCTCAACTTGTCGATCTCATCCAAGCCTTCAGCTTCATCAATCAATTTCACAGAGAAATTGAAACCTCTAGGATAATTTTCCTTATCAGCGGGGTTATACATGATTTCAAGGCCCTTAAGACAAGCCATAACGACAATAGGATCATCGCTCTCGAGAAGATCACATAATGGCGGTATAAACCGCTCCAAACCCAAAATACTGTCCACCACGACCCAACGCAAAAACAAACCTTCAGATTATTTTTTGAAGTCCAAAGCGTAAAGTTAATATCTAGAGGGAGAAGTAGTGAAAAGAGTACTTGTTTCCATGACGAGTTCCACCACAGATGAGATTAAAAACAGTCTTCGCAGCTTCTTGCTTTATATCAGACTCCACAGTTTGTAGCAAATGAATTAAAGGTCGAATCAATCCTGCATCAATTACTGCCTGTAAAACCCAGAGAATAGCCATGAACAACTGCTTCATAATAATTTCCGTACACATAGGTCAACAACAGGGAAAAAAGATCACACCTTGTTCTGCATCTTCCTTCCGGCAGCAATATTATAGATGGTCCAGCAAGCTACTTTCTTGATTGTTTTGTTATCTCCATGCATCAACAGGTTTGGCAAACAAGAAAGCACCCCACGGTCAATTATAATCTGAAATACAAAAGACTTGCCATCAGTACCAAGCACATCATGAATTTTGTTACCTTTAATTTCTTATTAAATGTTGGAGGCTGCATATGGGTTTTGTACAAAAGAAATAAAATCATGAACAAGACCATATTTTCCAAAATTAACTTAGAACGATTCATTCTGTTTGACAAGTTTGCAAGAAATAAAAATGACTGACACATCCTCTTCCGACATACACATACCATACACCAAATGCAAGGTGATGAAAAGTGATGTATTAAACATACCTGCCTCTGAGAATCATCTCCCCTCGCAATATTCATGAATGTACGAAGTGCAGGAATAACCACAGAGGTTGATGAATGTCTGAAAGATTACAATTTGTTTTGTATCAAAAACAAACAAAACAAAACAAAAAAAGAAACAAACACCCAAAGAAAAATTAAAGTCATGAATGAAACCTACGAGAGTAGCTCCACAAGTCGTGGACAGACACCCGTTCTGATTACAGCTTGTATACAATTTTTGTTTGTATCGTCAGAGAGATGTGACAGTGCCCAACATGCACATGTTAGCACATCAGGGTCATCAAAAATAAACAAGGAGCTTGAGAGCTGGGAGGGCATCAGACACCTGAATGAATCTCATTAGCATAAAAGGAAGAGGAAATTTTATTTTATTTTATTTTTAAAAAAAGATTTTATAGCAAACCTGATCGAATGGAGGATGAGGATTGCCACGACAGAAGTTAAACAATGTCAATGCCACATTTCTCAGCATCGAAACTGTTGCATACTCATTCCGTTGTGCCAGCAAAGGACTCAAAGCGTCTTTGCTCAGAACAATATCACGAAAGGTAGGAGAGTCACCAGCAATCTTTCCCAATGCCCATACAGCCTAAAACATGACGAAATCATGCAATCAAACTTAATTTAAGCCTCCAACAAAAATTAGGAGGCAAACTTTTAGTCCCACATACGCAACACCAAACAAGACCTTTAGGAAGACACAGACTTGCTCACGAACATGATCAATAGGAGAACTCAGGAGCTTTACAAATATAGGCACAACATCTTGATCTATCACCTCTCTTGTATGATCAGAAGTCCCAGACGCAACAGTTGCGAGAGCCCAGGCAGCTTCAAACTAGTTTAAATGTTTTTTTAACAAAGAAAGTTAAGAGACAAAACAAGTAGCATAACAATTAAAAAGAGAAAGGACAAATTCAACAGATGTACAACAAACCTGGAGCTCTGGAAAATCATCCCTCAATAGGAACTTAGCCAACAGAGGGAGCCATCCATCTTGTATAACTTCATCAATAGGAGGGCTCCCATCTGTAAATTTAGGCCTTAATCTTATACCAGTAGCAATCACAATAGGAGGGGGTTCACTACTAAAGCAATGCATGAAACTATACCTGTTGAAAATTCTTCACGGAAGTCTCATCAGTTTCAGCCGAAAACTATCCAACTGCAAATGGACAAAAGAACAATCAGAAGACACCTAAAGTTTTCAAAAAGACCAAAACAATAACAACTCTGCTGCATCAAAGCAAGGGGCTTAATTTCAGAAGACACGTAAATCTAACATTCAACATTGAAGAATCTCCCAATTAACCAACCCTAAACCCATGTCAGAGATACCAATCTCCCACAATCAGAACCAACAACAAATGCAGTACTATAATAAATATACTAAAGCAACATAACAAAAATAAACAACAACAAATTCCAAAGAAATTAATACTACAGGTCAATAAAAATGCATAAAATCGAACGGATAAAATTCAGATCGATAGAACTGAAAATTAGAGAGGCATTAAAGAACGGTGCAAAGCAGTTCATGGACCGGATTAATCTTCAAGAAAAGTAGCAATCACCTTGTTGTTGGCGGCAAATCCTCGTTGCAGACCATCCTTCCTCCGCGGTCCCTCCTCGGCGTCCACCGCCTCATTATCCCAGCTCCGCTTATTCCAGCGGACGTCGAGCATGATTCGATCTTCCATCCTCAGCCCGTCCCTTCTTGCACCGGTTCAGACGAAAATTCGTATTAGGCCACAACTTTTCCCGCTCGATTTTTCCTAATTTTCATTAAAAAAAAAAAAAACGAAAAACCGGCAAAGAAAAATAAAAAATGAAGAAAACTCCAACTTTTTTATTTTTTTAAAAAATAAATTCAAAATTCAAGCATCTATACGGCGATGAAGCAGAAGAAATAACTAACGACGAACATGAGATAACTAAGTATTATAGTGAATTGTTTTTTTCTTTTACAGGTGTTTTGGTATTTGGAAACATAATATAGTCGAGTGGGAATTTTGGAGAAGGAAGCCTCCTCAGTCGTCACCAGTCACCAGTGTCCCAGCCTCACAGTTTCAGGGCAAAAAGAAATTCCGATGACTTGACCTGTTAAGGTACTGCGCCGATTGAAAACTATAATTGTAACTGGGCTCAAAATCAACAAGTGACTTGTAATCAATTGGGCTCAACATCAGTTATTTTCTACTGTAGCTGACCAGTAACATTATTTCGTCTAATTATAGTGGAAGTGGACTAGTATGGGAGTTCGGTCCATATGCGTTAACTCATAATATCAAATATCACATTTTTAATGTATTAAAGGAGAGTTTTCAATTAGATACATGTCACGATATTAAATAGGCTAATCCATGTGGCGTAAAATTAGATACCGAAATCCACATGTCGCAAGCACATTACTCTATCATTTAATGATAATTTTTTATTTACAAATCCGTAAAATTTATAAATAATAACTGATTTTACCAGGTTAATACTCTATATTTATAACCAAAATATTAAACTAAGAGTTAATCAGTTTAACGGGTAAGCATTGGACAAGAAGAAAAAAAATAGATTAAGATTAAACTTTTTATTTTAGTTAGTGATTCACTTACAAGGGTAATTTATTTTGTGTTTATACGGGACTACAGTACTATACCTATATACTAAGTTATAAGTGTAATTTATAAATAATAACTAATTTTACCCGGTTAATACTTCATATTTATAACTAAAATATTAAGTTAATCAGAATTTTAACGGGTAAGCAATAGAGAAGAAAAAAAACATGGATTAAGATTAAACTTTGTGTTTTAGTTAGTGATTCACTCACAAGGGTAATTTATTTTGTGTTTATACGGGACTACAGTACTATAAATATATACTAAGTTATAATCATGAAACTGTTGATGGTTTCTCTCGTTTGTTCCTTTGTTATCTCTCCTATCCTCCAACTAGAAGCCTAATGTACTCCGTTACTCTGCCACTTTTGGATTTTTTTTATTGGTTTTTCTTTTTTTTCCAAAAGAAATTAAGTATTTTTTAGAAATTATTCAAGTAATTTTTTGGACAGTTTTTTTTTTCATATAATGATGTCCCTTGCCGAGCCAAATTTTTATGTAATTTTATATAAAATAACAAAGCAAATTGCCACAACATTATAGAAAAAGTGTGAGTCTAAAAACTTTTTACTGTAGACATATATTGAGTTTGTCATTAGTATCAATATATGTATATCTTAATGAAAAAACACTAATTAAAAACACAAATGAAACACCCAAGAAACCATAGGGGCATCAAATCAGATGAAAAAAATTATAATGAAATAATGTTGCTAAATAATATATCTTTTCATTCCTGGATATGTATTAACTTAGCTATGTGTTGATCATGTTTAAGATATATACAAAAAGGTCAAACCATGCAATCAAGAAAAAACAGATGTGAATACGATATTATAGAAAAAATATACGAACAAACTTCTAAGGAAAAATTACACAAGGTATATAGAAAGACGGAAAACAAAGATAAGTTTATGCAAAAAATAATGAGAAAACTTTCTGTTAGCAGGAGCTTTTAAAAGATATGAAACGAACAGAAATATTTAGAAGGATCACTATAAAAAATTAGGAGAATACTTTTAAACGATATAAAAACGATGAATCAACAAAATAAAAAAAAAACATGAACAATAAGTAACAACGGATTATTTCAAAACTTGAAAATTATTCCAAATGTACTTAAAATAATGAAACATATTAACATTAAAAATTACACAATTATAACTTATATCATTATATATATATATACATATATCACTCCATTAGAAATGTCATATAATCGTTAACTTATTATACTCATATATATCTTGAATAACCCACACAACGTGTGGGGCAAACACTAGTTTGTTATAAAAGTAAAGATATGAAACTGTAGAAAAAAAAAAACAAATATAGAGATATAACAAGTTAAGAGAGAGAAATAGAGAATTGATGTGTGTATTATTTTTATAGACTGCTCCCAGAGATGGATACAAGGATAAAAATAAATAATGATAATATCTAACTAAATATTATCTCTGAATATTTGATTCCTTGTGTAACTCTTTTGACTTGTGGACATCCACATTAAATATTTATAATACTCCCCCTTGGATGTCCGTTTCTTAGGATAATGCCTCGTTAAAATTTTTACTAGGAAAAATCCAGTGGGATAAAAATCTAATAAAGGAAAAAAAGTACATTCCAGATATTACGCTGCCTCGTTAAAAATCTTGTCAGAAAAATCCATTGGGATAAAATTTCGATCAAGGGAAAAAGAGTACCGTGTGGGGTTACTCCCTCTGTTGAATACATCACTTGTGATCTTCTCACTACATGCTAAAATGTTGACCAGTTTCACCAGTGTCGAAATCAATAATATGTGGATTTTCTAAATAGTCACTTCAGCTTCTTATGCAGACGATCATCTTCATATACCATATATAATCTTGACTGCTTCCGGAAAACAGAGATCCATAACCATCGTACGCCGAATGTATCAATGTATGCAATATTTCAATGTCTTGACTAATTGATAAATTAAACCGATATTTTATATAAATTGCACTATGGTACTTTAGGACCATATCGGTTTACATCATTATTAAAAGCCAAAAGGATCTATACGCACATCATGATTATAATCAAGTGTGTCTAACATGGGTTAAATATAAATATACTACAGTCAAACTAAGACCGAGATTCTATTCAAAGTCAGCTTTCATTGTTTTTGCTTCAGGCAAATACTAACCTTTTGAATTTAGCAACCTTTTGAACTTCTTTAATTTTGAAGTCTCAATAATTATGATGAACTCTTCGGAGTTAAATTAATTTTGAAGCTATTCAAACTCCATAATGAGTTTTGATAATAAACAGCCTTTCCAAACTCTTTAAGAGTTTAGTGTTAACTGAGTTTTAAGCACATATTTATCATTATCATACATATATGATCATTTAAACGCATGAAAAAGCACAAACAAACATAACATATTCTGACAAAAACAAATATTGACACAAGTGCATAAATCAAAACATTCAAGGATATGCACTTAAATATTTGTCTAAACATATGAAGACAGTAATACTTGCGCAAGTCTTTCGAATTACTTTCTCGAGAATCGGAACCATGTCCCTTATTGAATCTTTTGGGGATTTCATATAGACGTCGTTATCAAATATTAAGTATCAAGTTTCAAATAATCACTACATTCAATAAACGCATTTTTATTTCTTCATTTGCTGCCAGATATAACAAATAATGGAAGAATTTTATTCCCATCTATCTTATGATTAACATCCGGACTTCGAAAAACTCGTGCAATATGTTGGTTGCTTGTTAATGTGTTGAACAATCACCCAACAACATTTAGCCAGTATTATTTGCCGAAATTTGGTAGACCAGACAAACACAAACTATCCATGAAAGACATATCACACACCATTCCACAACACAAACAACCGTTACTAAGTCAATCGGCCTGTGCCAGCAGCAAATTAATAACTGATCGATCGATCAAACGAGGAAATAATCACAACCATCAGGAATTAAAAAGTTAAATTATGCATTCAAGACCAAAAAGTACTTTACCACATAAACATTCAGTCACTGACTAGAAATACTGATAATTCAAAACGTTGCCTACATAGCAGCATAATATTCAACGCGACATAGCATCCTGTGCTTGCGGATAGGTTGCTTGCTCCTCCTTGTGCCCAAGAGGGTGTGAAAAGGGGGCTCCATTCTTCTTCCAGGAATCGCAGACGTATTTACGATATGTGCTACTAGTACCAGCGTAAATGTTATAACGTTTACAGCAACCAAGTGTGCAGGGCTGATCCTTTCTCTGTTCCCAATCTGAGAGGGCCACATCTCTCTTGTTGCAAAACAAGGGCATCCTCTCCAAGGCCCCTCTCTTCTCCTCCTCAGAAGTAAGATGACAAACAACATGCCTTCCTAGAAAGATTACCGGTTTGTTCGAGTCAACACCTTGAGAAGCTCTGAAGGTAATATAATATAGAGAATAATCAGGTGTACGGGTAAATGCCACGTTCTCAACTCCCCCGTCATGATACTCGTAGTTCTGAAGACATACATCAGAAACAATTAAAAACGAAATGGAAAAAAATAATCGATTACTTCGCTGCGACTGTATTATGATGATAAGAAGGTATAAGATACATGATTGCACATCCATGCGGGAGTTTTACTGGACAAGAATAACGGCAAATTTTTTAATCAAAATACTATTAAAATAGGTACCTGATCATTTCTCTGGTTGTACAACAGAATGCATCCCTCGCACATTTTACGGACATCAGCGCTGCCTTCTTCTGTAACTTTGAAAGGTACGATTGTTGCTTCGCGGCTATTATCATCAGGAGTACACTTAATGTCAAAACCCTGACAGAGCAAAGAGGACTAATTAATTTCAAAACAATCGGAGAAGAAATCAAGAAGACAGGTAATTAATTGAAATAAAAAACGAACCTGGCTGTTGTGCATCATCTCGAAGTAATCCTTCCATGGATCTTGATTCGACCCGGGGACACCATCATCATCGTTACGGGATGGTGGTTTAAGGCCGCGCTCCGCCATAGCGGCTGCGTACTGAGCCGCTGCTGCCTCAGTGACTGCTTTCCTAACAGCGGCATACTTAGCCGCCGCTACCTTAGCGCGAGCCGCCTTAGCCGCTGCTTCCACGTCGGCTAATTTCTTGGCCTCTGCTTCCTTCTCCTCTGCTACCTTGGCGGCTAATTCCTTGCAACTGCAGTTTTGTACTCTTCGGAAACCATGATTTCCGACGTTTCGAACGATACTGATGAAGTTGATAAAACCAATTTCCGTATCTTAGATGCTGGTTGGTAGTCGTCAATGTCGGAACGGATCTCGACTCCTCCAGACGCCGCCGAGATTGTTTGGTGGAGGAGTTCCCACCCTACGCCTCTCGAAGCTGGGATAATTTGGTACATCTCCATCGTCGAAGCAGCCATTGCTCTTTCTTCCCCCATTTCTAAACCCTAATCTTGGATCTTTCTCAAGGATTTTGACATTACGAATTTGTTGAATTTAGCAGAAATGGATTTTAATTATAGGCCGGCCCGTCTTGCTCCCTAAGTGCCTAGTTAGGGCATTTTTCAAGGGAAAACGAATAATAATAAACAATTAGAAAAACCAATAGTTCTCATAAAAAAAAATACTATGTAGTTTCTAATTTTAAATTGAATAACATGAATAATTTATAAACATTATCATATGAAATTATACACTAATATAGTCATATATTTTAATATTGTTACTATAATCATACTAATAATCGTTTAGTATCGTGAATCAAATTGGGAAAAAATAAATTGTTATCACGGTGTTTAGTGGCATCTTACAACATCCATCATTACAACATCATTATCAGTGGATGATTACTCCATATTAGTGATGATCGATGGTCCTGGATTTCTTCCGGTGGAATGACGGTGTAGGTAGAGGTACGTGGATAAAAGAAACATCGATTCAGAGGGAAATAGTAGTATCACATTCTAGTTTATGATTCTAAAACCATCCAGAATAATTCACATATAACCACTTGAAAGACCCTATAAATTTTAGCAATGACTCGCCCAACAAAGCCTTTCTCGGCCTCCAAAACCACAACAAAACATCACCATAAACCCTAAAACTGAATGTACCGGTAAAACCTCAACTTAGGCAGTCCGAAAAGCAACCCACCGCCTCGTGTATAGAATCTAGTTGGCGCTAGAATTGAATGGCTTCCATGAAGGGACACGATTATGTTCATTGTATGTTTGAATCAGAATAATACTAAAAAAAGATGATGAGGATGAAGGAGATGGTTAGGGGTTGTGTGGTGAGCCGCCGGGGATGATAATGACTAAACAAGAGATGGAGTTGTTGATTTAAAAGTTACTCTATTATTATTAAGTCTTTTTACTTGACTTTAAAATCATTAGGTGAGGAGTTAACTTTCTATTTAGGTTACTTGAGAACATATTTTAACCGATAAAGTAATTATAGAAAAAAAAAAAAAACAATCCAAAATTATGGAGGTCTTGTCCCCTAATATGATCGTCCAAAGTCCATCTATAATCGGGAAACCTCCAAAAATTAGGGTTTTGGAAAGAAAGAGAAGATGAGTGCCTGTTTGAGGCTTTGGCAAACCAGCATCTGGGCAGAAGGGATTCAATCTGTACAGACATCGACAAGTACAAACCAGAAACGAAGATTCGTTTATGTTTTTAGGAGCCTAAAATTATGTTGATATTAGCGCACAAATTATATTTCTTTCTTTATACGTCAACAAAAACTCTAAAATGATGTTGTTATATCTCAAATAAGGCGGAATATATTCATTCTCTATCTTTTTTATCTTTTTCCTTATTTTTTTGGAAAAAAAAAACACATACCCCAAGAATTCTTCTAAAGATTTTGTTAGGACAAAGAATCATACATTGCCATCATGAAGAATTTGACACCTGTTTATAAATTCATAGAGCCATTCCACTTATTACTAATTAATTTTGAGATGAGAGTCAAGTTATTTTTGACTGATTTTATTCAGCAAGGAGCACACAGTACGTAGTTACATGTGTATATGTACTTGAAGAAAGAATTGTCTAAGGAAAAATGAAAAACAACGTGTACGTAGTTTTCTCTTTTAGAACCTTAACTCATATGATGATTCGACATATTATCGAAACATGCACATCCATCATTACAACATCATCATCATTGTATGATTACACCACATTAGTGACGATGATCGATGATCCTGGATTTCTTCTTGTAGGTTGAAGGTGTAGGTAGACTCTCAGTCAGACGCGACATATAGAAGACCTTGACCACCATTTTATGCTTACGAAAAAAGAAAAAAAAAAGTTGCTCAATAATTACTCACGCAAGCCAATGACGGTTGTACGTGGATAATAAATAAAAACATGGATTCACAAACCCAGAGGGATAGTAGTATCAACTTCTAGTGTTATGAACCTTGGTTCAAAATATTGTGTTAACAACATATTTTTTTCCCGTCATACATTTAGTACTACTAAGCTCGTTATGTGATATACTCAAACTTATTCTACTTTTTTTAAAAAATAAAAAATAAAAAATTATTAGATATTCAATACATGTCTCACACACACACACCAAAAAAACTGGTTCTTATTAGTACAAATTTATAATTTATATTGTGAATTACTCTCTATGTTCCCAAAAAAAAAAAAAACTAGTTCTCACTGAATTTTGAAATTTTTATGAATGAGTTTTCTGAAATGGATAAAGTATCTTTATAAGAAGAAGGAATAACAGTATATTTCTCGTGGGAGTTAAAGAAATATCTAACTTAATGTTCTATTGTGTTTTTTTTATCCCAAAAAAAAAAAAAAATTCTATTGTGTTTTGTTTTGTGGGTGGGATATGGACCGGCTGATCATGTAAGGCCGGCCGGCAGCGGTATCCTTCAGGAAGAAGGAGTACCATCTATCCATATTTTGTAATTTACTAACATGACCATTTTGCACCAAAGTCAAACTGGTAACGGCAAAAGGGTGGGTTTAAAGCCTTAATTAGTAGTGGTTTATGACATCGACAATCTATATGATACTAGTAAATCAATCTACTTTATTGTTGTTGTTATGACACTTAGGTAGTATTATTAGTAGTATATTTAGATTTAAATAACTTTGTATTGAAACTGGAAAAATGGTATTATTATGATATTTAGAATCAACCATTTGAGTGTCAGTTCTTTGACTTAGTTTTTTGGTGGGATAAAATAACCATGAGGCGGCTCCCATGAGGGGTTTTTGTATTGCTTTCAGGTTTAAATAAACAAAAGCGAAAGCACAATAATATATATGTATTATTTCCGTTCTCATAACAATTACAAGACAATTATTTTATAATTGAAATTATTATTCTAATTAAATCCTAATGACATAAAATAAGAACCAACGACCCTTCCTTTCATTATACTCCCTCTATTCCCTATTATAAGACACACAAAATTAACTTAATGTTAGTTTAAAAGTGCGCATCATTATTAGGGCCGGAAAGAATTTTAGCAGTATTATAATATAATAATAATCAGAAAATCTAATAAGATAGTCCTAGTACTTTTTCGTTTGGCAAGATAAAAAAAGTAGTAGTGGTCAAACGTGTCCTTTATCAGCACAAAAGTCATAAAACAAAACTAATGCAAGTAAACCAAATTGGCAATTGACTGACTTGATCATCTTTAACGTGAAATTAACTTTGTGGCATACTTCTTAAGTTCTGTGGTGGTAACTATGTTCTTTTGAATTGTAAGATCTTTTTGTTTAAACTGTGAATATTAGATATTGATTACCTTGAAGTGGTATCAGCAGTGTACAACGCAATATATTTTAGTAAATGTTACTTATATGAGTGTTATTTTCAGTGTATTTAAAAAAAAAAAAAAAGGCATATGAGATCATCATCGTGAAGAGATAAAAATGAAAATACAAGATGATCAACACTTTTGCATATAATGTCTGTTCATACATCAGCTGAATATTTTCACTATTTTATTTTTAGTTTTTTACTGAATTGAATTAAAGGATGCCTCACTTAAGAGTTATTACTCTCTGGCCCTTACTTTCTGTACGGATCTGTGTGTTTTCTGAAGACAAGAACGAAACTAATGAATGCATATTATTGACTGCAAAAAGATATATAAATAAAAAAAAAAAAAAAAAGCAAATGAGAGTAATAATAAATAAGTGTAAAGTAAAAAAAGTACAAGTACAAAAAGTAATCAAACACCCATGAAATGAAAGTACAAGTACTAATTACTAGTTTCTGTGTGTTGTGATTATAATATTGTCAATTTAGGAGGACAAAATTGCGTAAGCTCAAACAAATTTACCAAATTATTAATTTATTATTCACAACTGGGCAAAGCGGCGTTTTTTGATTTTCACCTTTTTTCCCCCCCACAAAAAAGGGAAAATGAAACTTCACAACCAAAATTGGTAAAGTGAATCCAAAGATGGATATAATTAAATAGAACCAAATTCAAACGTGCAAATAAATAAATATTTATCGCGTGTTTCACCTTTTCACCTTCCCAATCAAACCGTACTGAGCCAGTAAAAATACTCCGGGGTAATAAAACTATTACTACCACATTCCAATTCATTCGGCAATTTTTGTTTGGTATGTAATATGGGTTAGCTCTTATTGCTTTAGCATCATCTATCGAGTCGTCCACATACACTGAACAGTGACCCCTAAAGACACCCCCGCCACCACAACGCCGCCGTCCACCACCACAACCTCACCGGCACATCCCGTTTCTTCTTGATAGACGGAAATGCCCATGCACTAACTGACCTGCCGCCTATCTCGTCGATAATTAACTCCTATCATACCCGACCCGTTTCATGACCTTTATCCTCTCCCTTTCCGAAAGAGACAAACCATTTCCCTTTTTCTCTTTTTTTATTTTTATTTTCCTTCAAAATTACGTGTGCCTGTGAATAAGCCCGGCCGCATGGTTGGTATATATATATAAGAGAGAAAACAAAAGGTGAGAGAAAGACCATCTGAAAAAAAGTGTTTGAAGTTTATCCAGCCTGATGACCAAAAGTGAGAGTAATAGTATATACAATACAAATTCAAAGACACACCGAGTTTATTTTTCCCCCTTTCTCTCTCACACACACACACAGTCGGTCTGATTTAATTGTCGTTTTATGTTGAAACCAGAGAACCAAAAATCAAAAGGGATTGTGCAAATTTTGTACTATAAATTTTGCTTTGGTTTGGTATACAACAAAAATTAGTCTGTGTACTAGTACTCTTAGCACTAGTGCGAGAGCGAAGCAGAGAGTTGTGACTGAACGGATTTTCCTACAAAGCCGGCAGGTATGGCGTCGTCCAAGGTGATGTCGTCTACATCTCCGGCCAATCCGGATCTGCCACGCCACTCCACCACCCCTTCTTCTTCCAATTCTCGCCCCCCTCACTCAATTCCCGATACCCCTTTTCTTCATCACCGCCATAACTACCTCAATCATCATCAGCCTCCCGTCCCATTTCAAACCGATCAACTCCACCCTCAGCCTGATCAAACCGTCGCCTCCCCTTTTGGGTCTATGAATATGGAGGAAATGCTCAAGAACATGTACTCTGAACCTGACGCCCTTCCCGGGCCGGAATCTCCCTTGGGCACTGGAGGTTCGGTCGGGAAAAATGTGGCCGGCGTTGGGGGTAAGACGGTGGATGAGGTCTGGAAGGAGATTGTCACCGGCGGAGAAGCAGCCGGGAGCAAGGAGCCCAGGATGACGTTGGAGGATTTTCTCACCAAGGCTGGGGCTGTTAGTGAGGAGGATGTCAGGGGAGCTCCTTCTCAGGTGTCAGCTGGTTATGGCATGGACACCATGATGAATGCCGCTGTTCCTGTTCAATTTCCGGCGGCTCCAGGGCCGTTGGTTCACATGCAGAATGGCCAGGGGGGTTTTGGCATGGAGACACACATGGGTTTTGCCAATGGGATGGTTCCGGCACCTGTCGCCGGCTCTGTCAGACCAGGTAGTGGCGGTGGAGGTGGCAGAGGTAAGAGGAGGGTTCCGCCGGTGGAGGACGTGGCGCTTGACAAAGCCACGCAGCAGAAGCAGAGGAGGATGATCAAGAACAGAGAATCTGCTGCAAGGTCTCGGGAGCGCAAGCAGGTTTCTTTTTTAAAAAAAATAAAACATTCATATCTGTTTCATTGATTTCTGGACTTTTATTTTTCCAATGAGTAACTTAATTCTCTCAATTTATGGTGAACTCTGAGGATGCATGACTCAATTGGTTTATGTTTCAGGCTTATACTGTGGAATTGGAGTCTCTGGTGACTCAATTGGAGGAGGAAAACGCAAGGCTTCTGAGAGCAGAGGTGAAAGCTTTACTCTTTGGTGCTACTTATGCGTGAAATTGTTTCCATTTTGCTAGTTAAGATTCAATATTCACAGAATCATGGGGATAAAGAAGTTGATTGATTTGAACTGTCTGAATATTTGGATCAATATGTAATCTTGGATGCCATTAGGCTCAAGTTTGTGATGATATGCTCAGTCTTTCATTTTCTTTCAGAATTCTGTAAGATTGAACGGTTTGTTATGTAGTACATCCTCCAATTGTCCCACAAACACATTTTGCGTTAGGAAAATAGGTCTCACCAGATGTTCACTTGTATTCTTTTGCTTTTCAGTGCTTGAGTATTGCTTAATAACTGTGTTTAGAAGTTCCTAAAGTGGTTATCTATGTTGCAGGCGGAACAAAAAAAAGAGAGGTTTAAGCAGGTACGGGTGTAATGTCTTGGTTCTCTGCATTCTTTACGATCACATGTTCATGTGTTTCTAGCTTAGTTCTTCTGTTGTCTAAACACCATTTTCTTTCCCCAGCGATTACTTTTGATGTTCATTGGAGATAGATGTTTGATTACTTTTCATCACTTAACGTTTTTTGTTTCCTTCTAATTTTTGCTGCTGAATGTTTGAGATGCACGCCCATGTGGAGTCTTGTGTATGTCGTCTTGTGTATGCTGATTCACCTTAATGAATTTTGAACCGTTAAAACTTCTGCATGGTCAAATAGTTTTTCTTCTGCACACGAATTTAGGTATTTGATCAATTTGGCAGCCAAGGTTATGGATTGGTGGTTGTAATTGAGTGTCCAGTTAACGGCTATCTGGATTATTGTGTTTTGTCGATATGTTATCAATTTTCGCCATTAAACTGTTGACACGATTCATTTCCGGTATGGTTGTTTGGCCTTTATTGTTTTCTATCTATTGAAATTTTGACTGGTTGAATGCATTTTTGCATGTGTTTCAGTGGCTAAAACCACGGACTGGTTGTCTCTAGTAATTATTTCGCCTGTCGTCGTAGAATTCGGAAGATTCCATTCAATGCATACGTGTGCCTGTATATTGTTTTTAGTCAATGCCATCATGCCTGTCATCACTTAAACCTAAGGCAGAAGACACGATGTTATAAAAATTTACTTTACTTTGCCACGCTGTTCGAGTTACACGTGGTGCCCTTTGAACATGATGAGATGAAAATAAACATGGTAGTAAAACATACAGAGTAAACATGATAGTGATGTACACATTTGTGGTAGAGACTAAACTCTCACACTGCTAGAGTACTAGTATAGCGATATGCATGTCATCCCTTTTTCCCTGCATAATCTAATTGGCATAAGCTTTGATGGCGGTTTTGCGTCAGGATGTCTGGACTCATCTAATTTAATTGTTTCTTAGATGATATTGGTTTGGCAATCATTTCCTGACTTTTCCTGTTTGTAACTTTGACTGTCTTTGAGGTGATGCACGCCCATGGTTTCTCTGCTTTTTGTTCCTATCATTGTCTGCTAATTACTTGATCTGAAACTGCATCCTGAATCATGTAATTCAGTCATGGAACTTGGTTCTAGAATGTCATTATGAACGTTTTAGAGCCAATGGTATACTTCCTCTTATGTCAATTATGCTATTATGTGCCATCTATCACCTAGTACTGCTGTCAGTCTAATTATCTTTGCTTAATATTATGTTTTCATCCTTTGTTTATGTGGTTGTTGGATCATTATTGGAAAGAGTGGAGCTTTACATTGAACCTTAGATAGCCCTTCGAACATTTCCAAATAATACAGCTTTGTATGCTGAAAGTTCTTGTAGCCCAATTCTTAGCTGTTCAATGACTTGAAAACTGATGAAAGGTTCCGAAACCTTAAATATGTGGTTATCTGAATCCAACCTGACATGTAATTTAGATGCTACTAGAGGGCAGAGTTTTACCATCAACAGTTTCCCTTCAGCATCTTTGCATTTTTACTTTTGTGTAACCTGCAGCTTCTTATCTTTACTTAGGATCACATCTTCTTTAAGACACACTTGCTGGTTCATTTACATGTTTCCAGTTTGACTTAAAAAGATGCGCTGATTTTGTATTCATTGTGTGCAGCTTATGGAAAACTTGATTCCTGTTGTGGAGAAGCGAAGACCTCCTCGAGTTCTGCGGAGAGTTCAAAGTATGAGCTGGTAGGCTGGGGTTTATTGTTTATAGTCATCAATGATAAAATGTAGGAAAAAGGTGGTTTATGACCCATTGAAGGAGACATTCCGATGTGGAAGAATATGCTTGATGGGGGAGTATTTGCAGAAAGAAATGAAACCGAAAGGTGTGATTAGATATCGAGGATGTTTTCTCATCAGCGATTTGTGATGAAGCATGAGGTCTATCTCTTTTAGGCTTTTACATAGCTTAGGTGGTGTTGTAGAGAAAGTGATTACCGTCTTTTTTATACAGGAAAATGTAGTCTCTCTTGTTACTTCTTCAACTTTGACTAATTTATACATGTAATTTGTAATGTATTTATAGTTATATACAAATAAAGGGAGTTTTATATGGTAGATTTTGTTAGAGAAAAATTGGTTCATTCAGGTCAAGTTGATTTTGCTATTGGCCTACAAAAGCCTGCAAGTACAACATGGATGAGTTGTGCTGATATCACCCAGAAGTTGGTGAACATGTTTGCTCTTCAAGCTATCAGTACCAGAAAAGCCCAGAAGAGAAGGCCAGGTTTGAATCTGACAATGATCAATGCCTTGAATAAGATACAATTTGTTAAAAGAGGATGTATTTGTGTGTTTTCTACTCCGTGCAAAGCCATTTGTGCTTTGAGCAGTTATGGTTAATACAAATGGGCTTTTTGAGGAAACTGGGTTTGAGATCAATTTTTTTTTTGCATTCACTGGACTGGTTTTCTCTCGGGCGGAGGGATTCAAATAAATAGTGCATGATTTGTGATCTCAAATTCATCCAATGAAATGAATGGTTTTTCTTTTTCCGACTGGAGGGGAGGGAGTATAGAAATAGTGCATTTTTTTGTGAGTTCAAATAATTCATTCAATGAAATGACTCATCAAATCTACTTCAGCTGCAAAGTTGATGTAGTCGTTTGATACCCACCCTTTTAAGTTAAAGAATGATTGTACTGTGACATGTTTTCCTACTATTACCTATGTGACCCATTTTTTTTGGTCTCCTCAAACCACAATGAATGATGAACAAAATCTTCAAATAACACCAACCTCTTGCTTTGCAATAATGCACACAAATTAAAAACTCGCTATTAGTGAACTTAAAAAGGATGAGGAGAGCAATGCTGCAATGTGCAATGGTGCCAAAAATACTAAATCAATAATAAGCATCAACATTTGATTGATTAGACATCCATACCTTCCAAATCAAATCATTGAATTCGGTAACATATTACATTACATCATTGGGCCGTTCATGTGGCTGATAATGTTCATTTTTTTCTGAAACTAAAATCACCTCAACTCAAACTGCCATCAGTAATCACCTCATCTGATCACGTCCCATCAACATCAATCCCAACAAATTAGACCACAAAAAGTTGCAATTTTTACCATTTTGGCTCTCTGTTTTTCACTCTCTACCTACTGGGGAAGCAACATGAGGCTTCTTTTGGCCTCTTTTCAGTCTCAAATGCCACCAAGGTGAAAACTTTTGGATGCTGATTTCTCATATTTTGGTACGTTCACATGCCATTTCTTCTACCTATCAGGCAAAACATTAAAGACAACGAGAACGAACTGCCTAAAAAATTTATGGCACCCGATTTCATTTTGATAATTGAGGATTTTTAGGCATGTGAGTGGTGGGCTGGCTGATGGCTATTCACTCCCGAATTATTTTGCTCTAATAATTGAACAGTGCAGAATGGCCATGTTGGCATTAAGAAAATTAATTGGGTCGACTCCATGATTTTATTGTAGGATTGAAACCCAGCACCAAATAGTTCTGGGCTTCTCCTTTTTACTTGTGCTTCTGAGCTTTCTTGACCCTACAACCAATCTACATTGAGAGAATTTCATTTCAGTTATACATTTTCACAAACAGTTGGAGTGGCCATGATAAACTAAAATAAAACAACACAGCTTCTCCACCAACTCCCGAGATGTGCTGTCTTATTTCCGACAAACTGACGAGAACCATGTTACAGTACCAGGATAAACAGATAAAATTATCCTTTCACAGCTCAGTTTAAACAGGTTCATGTTGGAGTATGGAACTAACTACAAACTGATTTCTTGTTATGATTTACAGGTTTTTCCATACATATTTTTATATCTTCAACACAGAAGTTCTGCCCCCTGTGAGTAGTATTTAAAAATTCTCCATTTGGGTTATGTCCAGAATCAAGTAGGAATATAATACTCTTTTGACAGGAAAAACAAAAGAACAGTGTGCTTCCTTCATGCCTAAAAACAATCAACAAGGAAACCAAAATGCGCACGATTAGAGAGAAAAGTCAAAAAAAAAAAAAACATTGCAGTTTGGCGGAATCAAAACCCAGGAACAAGTGTGCATTTCACAACTTGCCCAACAGTTAATCAGGGGCCGCATATTTCAAGCTGGGTGAAAATGAAGAACTAGACATGATGAGAAGATGTATGAACTAATCAGAAAGCTCAAAATTGACCATCAGCAATAAATTACAGCAGAAAAACAGTATATCGCACATGGAGGTTTTTTTTTTTTTTTTTCCGGGTTTCTATTCTTTGATTCTATCATCTATTTTTTTTTTCTTTCTTTTTCTTCCTTTTCTGAATTTAAGTATAATGACAAGTAAAAACATTTCACTCTAGAGTTACATATGTAATAATCAATATTCAACAGCTTTCTTCAAGTACCTTCAGACACTAACCGAGAAAAGATCTCAGGAATATATTACCATCTTTATGTTTGTCCATCAGCAATTGCTTGTGCTGTCATGGTTGAGTGCTCTTTCCCAGGATTTGAAGACCCTCTGTTCTGCAAGACATAATTTTTCTGAAAACATCCCTCAAATTACGTTCAAGTGGATCAAGTTCTGAATTGCATATTTCACAGACAATTGCTAATTCTTTCACACTCTCTCTAACTTCTTCCTTTTGCTCCTCTGCTAATGGAACCTGAACCGAGTCCACCAAGTCTGTCATGTGATGAATAGACTTCTCAATCCGATTAATCTCCCTCAAGAACCCGTTGCTATCTCGCCATCCCCGCTTCTTGGATTCATCTGTAATCCTACTATGAAGCAAAAAGAATGGAGTGCTCCATACAAATTGGCGAGGGATGGTGAAATGAACTTGGTGACCTCTGTCTTGGCAGGGAAATGCAGCAACAAGAGTCCACAAAACAAACATAAGAATGAAGCTCATTGTAAAGACAACATTAGAAAGACTATTAGCAGCTGCAAGTTCATTCGCTCGGGGAATGACTAAGTTGTTTGCCATTGTTTGGAGCTGCTTTGAAGCTGACCAAGAATTGGGTACACTCCATGACAGAGACCTCGAATGCCCTGATCCACGACTATTTTGACGCTCCTTGTTCTTCTGAGCTCGGCCAAAAGACCGATTGCGGTGTGAAAATACAGAACCGGTTCCTTTATCATCTAGCATGAAAAGAGCTAAATCGGTCAAAGCTTTTTTTGCCCTTCTGATGTTGCCTTCACCTATCATCTTCTGATGACAATCCATTGCTGCAACAACAATATCCAAATGCTTCTTCCATTGCCGAATCTTCTCAATCCCATCACGGGTTGCATTGCATATATCAAGAGCCTTAATAGTTCTATCAAAGTACTCCAATACAAACTTATCCACTGGTGGCTTTGAGACTTTCCCCTTGTTATTAGATAATATTTCCCTGAATAGTTCCTGGCAAGAGGCAAATGCATCAAGTAGCTTCCGAATCCATGAAAGGGAGAGGAATTCATCGTTGGTAGCCACTGCGAGACTATGGAATTGAGCTAGAACCTGTCTCTGAAACGATTCCATTTCTGAATTCTGAGGATCGCAGTCACGACTCAATGCCAAGGCATGTACATTACCACCTCTCATAGTTAAAATAGGCCGGCGAAATGAAACAAACGGCAGGGCAGAAGACGGCTTATCTGCTGATGGCATTCTCTCAGAACAAAACCCCTTAAAACTTTACAACTTCTCTTATAACTTACAACAAATCCAAACCAATCACTAACGTCCCATGACCATCCGAATTCCCGAATCAACCCAAAAATCAGCTCTCAATACAAAAGAAAACAACATATCAAGAATGCCAAATCAAAACCCACCAGCTAGACTAACACAGCTCTTCGGTACACAATTATCAATCTTCTAAAACACACAAAAATATCTATAAGGAGAAACCAAAATAACAACTTGAAAAACCTACATATAACAGCTCATCAAAATCTACAAATAACAGCTCAACTCTTGCCTGTAAAGAAGCCACAGGGCCCAGAAAAGAAATCAATAAATCAACGCCCTTCCTGATCCAAACACTCCCAAACCCAACATTTTATCACGGATCATGACACAGAAGAAGGAATACAGGTATAATATAAGATGAACAAAGATCCCAGTAAAACCACAACACAAAATCGAAACAGGAGCCGAAATGCACGTCTTCTGATTTTCTAAAAGAAACCCCCAGATCAGCAAGACCATCAGAAACCCGCGATCTACACGAAAGAGCTCCACGATTTGGGATAAATTTTCCTCGTTTAAAACTCAAACGGAAAAAGGCAAAATTGAATGGCAATACATTCTCAAAAAAACGTAAGGAGGGGAAGGAAAATTTTTGTATATACGACACGAAAGATTGTACCTTGATGAAGCTACATAAGGTCCAAAAGCAGAACAAAAATGGGGGAGGGATGGAACCCTAGCCAAGGACCACAATCCTGCTTCCCTGGCTATGGCCACAACGAAATTCGAGGTTGCTTGGAATGAGGTCCGATATAAAAAGGAGTGAAACTTTAAATTCTCTCTCTTCCTCTGTGTTTTTTTTTGGGTTTACTAAGAGGAACAAGTTAACGTTAATTTAATTTTCTTTTTAATCTTTGTTTAAAATTTGTACAGTGTGTGACTGTGTGTGCGTTTGTGTGTTACGGTAATGAGAGAGACAGAAAAAAAAAAAGAGAAAAAAAAAGAGACATGCTTCTAGGCTTTATTCTTTTCTTTTCCCTTTTTTTTTTTTCCTTTTTGGGTGTTATAATTCCAGTTATTTCCAGATGCTTCAACTAGATATAGATACTACATTTCTTTGAATTTTTGGTCAATATAATTTTAGGCTTTTTCACTTTCATTTTCTCTCATATTGATTAGGATGCTTAGGGGAAGAATATCCTGTTGATAATTATATTCATTGCATTTTAACCCAAACTTATTTTTTGCCCTGTCTTATTATCCCAGGTTTTAATTTTTGTCATTATCATAAGATTCAATAAATGGAACAACGGAAGCTAACCAGAAGAAGGTCCAAAACTAATTAGGGAGGCATTCTGCTGTTGAATCTAATACAAAGATGGGAAATGGATTGAGGTCAAATTTTGAGCTCCTGATATTTGAACAAGGCTCAAAAGGGTCATAGAGTTGCAACTGAGATTTAATAAAAAACATCTTCAACTCTAATGATTCAAAGGAAATTATGACACTACATTTGAAGATACTGGAATCAAATACATCTTCTTGGGGGATACATATATTGTATATGTTAAGCACCTAAACCTTGCCCAAACTTCTTTTCCCTTTATTCACAAGCCAATTTGGTGTCAAAGCTACTCAAACAGATCGCAAAAGCCTGAAATGCAGATAAGGGATAGCGGTAATCCATGGTAAACATGTCTTTCCCCACCTTGCCAAACTGCAAGATGATTTTATCATGGTCAGGTGGAGCTGGTTGGGTGGCCCCGGTGGCTGTTGAAGCAGCACCGGCTGCGGGTACTGGTTGTGTGGCTGCAATCAACTGGAAATTTTTGACAGATGCCACGGTTACACGTCCCCGGAAATTCAGGCACCAGCACTGTAATTGTTCGTGCCATCTTGGTGCCTTGTTCTTGAGTACTAACGGCCTCACCTTGCCTTCTTCTTCCTCATTGCCGGAGATGCCAATGTCAGAAAATCTTGCACTGCTGAATTCCGTAGAATGATCAAGAGATTTTGAAAAGGAAATACTTCGGAAGGAATCCTCCAGAGACCTTGGAAGAAGCTCTGGTTGGCCAGGGACACAGCCACCAGCTTCAAGTGCAGAGGCAGGGATAGAATGCATTACACAATGCATCCTCCTAGGTCCCCTGGTTCCGAGCACATTCAACTCGTACGTAATCTGAGATATGTTATAACTTCCTGTGGGCACTTTCGGAGAAACCTTCTTGGAATAGAATCTGCGGCTTGTTCGCCCAGGAGGAGGCATGTTTGTACAGGTATATGGAGGCTGTGTGTCGTATATTATGAATTTTGTACCAAGAAAATTTGATCTGTAGGAAGGTAAAAAACATATCAATTTGAATCCAAAACAATATGAAACCATAGTAAACCTGGAGAACAAAGAGCAGAAGATGCAGATTGGCAGAGAAAAAAAAAAATAGTTAATATTTATCACAATTTCCCCATCATTCTGCGTTACATGTTTCAAGAATCAGCACGCCTGTACTGTATAATGAATAAAATCATACCACCAGATTCATATTTAGTCATTGTCTACACATAATTAGACAGTCATCTTTAAGTGGAAAGCTCGTCGTTAGAATTTTCATCCTACTCCAAACACACTCAGCAGAAACAGAATCAAAGAACAAAACGTGTAGTAAGGAATAAATGGACCACAAACCTTAGCTTTCCAATATATGTGCTGCTTGATCTAGATATATTATCGGCATCCATTGAGATGACATACTCCGTGCACGTAGTTCGTCGAGTTCTTTTTGCAGAGAGAAGGAACTTTCCATTTTCAACTAGCAAAGCTGTGAATATATGGAACAGAAAGTTAGCGAACATGAACAATACAACTAGTTGAAAAATTTTTGCCATTAGCATTTTGGAATCACTAAATTGGTTGATTTGTTTTGCTCAAAGGTTTTTGAAAAAACAACCCTCAGAGCACCAGTACTAGTGGAATACACAATCACAATTGGTCAAACGATTGAAAGATGAGTCAGCTAATGCCATTCATTTACGTACTTTGTGAACAAATGGAGAATTCATGAAATAGACAAGTACCCTAAAAATTACCAAACACAAGGCCAAAAGGGAGATTCTTACCAGGGCTAAGACACAGGAAAAGATGGTATGTTAGATTAGACTTGTCCCTTTTGATGAAGCACTGGATAGTTCCGTCACGAGGACCAGGCTGGAAAACGCAAAACAAAGGAGCAGTCAATGAGCTAAACACTATACTTTACGATAATGACCATATAAACATATATCAGCAATGTACATGAAAATTTGTTTGTGTGTGTGTGTGAGGTTGGGTGAGGAGGTCATTGGGCTCATGTCAAAGGAAAATATTGTAGTGTTCGTAAACAAGGCAAAAGAGAAAGAAACCTACCTGCTTAAGAGAAACAGGGAAAGTGAGCTTTCCACAAAACTCTGGACTTTTTACAATTTCCTTGCACATACTTCTCCATGACCTGCAAACGGCAGAACATGCTACAACATGCTTACGCCCAGGCCAAGTGCTCTCACTCTCTTCTAACCGTCTAATTACATCAAAAAGCAGCTCAGGTGGGAGATTAGCCCAACGGCTGTTCTGAACTACCAACGGTTGGTCACTAGAGTCTTGAAAGGAGCCATGGGACTTCCCGCGATGATGACCAGATAGTCTAACATTAAAACTCCGTCTGGATAAGCTCCCAAAACTATCCCTCACATCACTAACTATGCTGCGGAAAGACATTTAGTAACCAAACGATAGCTAAGCACTCAAGGTACAAATATTAGCCGGACTTCTCTCTAGACGTGTTTCTGTTTGTATTCCTTTCCAAGTTATCACAGCTCTCTTGACATATAAACCTGCCCACAAGTAAACAAATGAAAATCATGCTTATGCACGTAATACGCATCCAAGAAGAAAAGAGAAAGCTAAAAAGAAGAAAAGAGTGGTTAAAAGAGAAAAGACCAGAGGAAAAAAAAGAAAAGGTGACAGAAAGAAAAAGACAGACTCACATGGACCACAAAGGTTAAAAAGATCACAAAACTTGCATCAGATACACTTTTATAGGTTCTTAAAGTAGATCTAGATTAGTTCCCCGGTTGCCACTCACCAGAAGAAAAGCTGAGAATCATCTACTCAGAGTAAATATATTAAAATGAGTATGTCATCAAACATATAAGCAACATTGATTTGATTCCGCCAGCAATAATTCAGAACCATTAATGAATCAAAGAAATTGCAAGGTATATCAATCCCACTCTATGAAGATACAATTTCAAGAGCCACCATCTTTAAAACCACTTGGGGTCTTTACCTTAGCAACACGTTCTCTACAGAAATATGAAAACAGAGACCAAACTTGTCAGCAGAAACATACCCAAAAATCCCTCCGAACAACCTAGTTGCATGTTATCCTCCAGAAAATTATCACTTTCAGCATCGCTATGTGTAATAGTATATGAAAAATGTTCTTAAAACCCCATATTGATTCTTGATACCAAAACCCGTTTATCTAATTATCATTCACTATTCGCAGGCAGAGTAAACATTCCAAAAATCGTTCAACTGTCACAAAATATGCACCAAAGTGTCATAAATTCTTAGTGGCCGATAGTGGTAGTGGCTAATCTGGGTAAAGGACCTAGCTGTCTGATCAAAGGACTCAAATTCTTTCAAAAGGTACAATAAATAGCAAAAGGATAAACTTATCAATGAGCCTAACGATTTATTACTCGAATATTAAAAAGCCAAACATTTTAAACAAGTTTCTCCCAAGCGGAAATCAGAGAAACCAAATTAGAACCCAAACCGAAGGAAGAACCCCTCCCCCAGAATAGCAAACAACTGCACATATGTTTGTCCAAGCAGGTTAAAACCCAGGAAAAGTAAACATATTTTTGCCAATATACCAGGAAAGATCAGCTCAAAATGGAAACACTAATCAGCTCAAAAAACAGAAAAGCAGACCCAGAAAAAGTAGCTCCAAAATGGAAGCTAAAAACTTTAGCGCAAGAAATTAGATGCAAAGAATCATTCAAGTAAGATCTGAAAGAAAAGAAAGAAGGATATAGATCTGTACCTGAAAACAAAACTAACGAAAGTCAGCAAAACCCACAATGATAGTGAGAGAATCAATGAATGACTGGCCCTTCTTCTTTTGACTGTTCACATTCAGATGAAAAATTTGCAGATGAACCTTTGAAGACCCCAGAAGAGAAAACAACACCAGATCACAAATTTATTTCTTTTTTCTTAAATAAAAAAAAAAAAGTCAAGACCCACAAATTTGCAGGTCACACCTTCTTCTTCCCTTTCTGGGCTCCTCTATACATCAATCACACACATAGAAACACACTAACAAGGAAAACAAAAACGGAAAAAAAGCTCTGCCCTTTAACACGGACTCAAAACTAACATTAAATGTAGTTCAACGAACCATGCAGGGAGAACAAGAAGAAGAGAGAAGAAGGACCAGAAAGAAGAAAGTGGGTGGTAGAAAAAGAAATTGAATTATACTAGTTTTTTTTTTTGTTTATGAAAAAGAAGAAGCAGTATATAAAAAAAAAGTACGAAACAATTACTGGTAAAGGGGGAGTCTTTCAATACATGCTTTTATTGGATTTGTTTATTTTAGGTGAGAGACAAACAAATTCATTTAACGTTTACATTACTACGTGACCAGAAAGCTGGGCTGTGAAGCAAACGACAATAAAAATGGAGTACTTTGACTTTTTATATAATGGGGGGAGGGGGGGGGGGTTGGAAGCTCAGCTAAAAGTGTTGGGAAACTTCCAAGTTGCAGTGATTTGGGGTCATATTTCCAATGTCACAAAATGATGTAAGTTATTCATTTTTTTAAGTAAAAATTAAACACTCGACCTTAATGAAATTACTCCCTTCGTCTTAAAATTATTGTTCAATTTGTATTTTTAAATTTAGTATAATTTAAACTAAAAATAAAAATTCAAACTGGACAATAATTTTGTAACGGAGAAAATATATGGGATAAATTTATTTCAATCAACCGCAGTCCCTTTGGTCTCACATTGCTTGTTAATTCTTATACTGCTGATGCCAGTTCAACGTGCTAGTTGCCTCATGAAAAATTGCCGAATTGGTGGTATTCTGCACCCTCGTACGTTGGTTTGTAACAGTGCATATGTATTACTTATCTACTACTTGTATTTTTCTACTTCTTGAAAGGGACCAAATAGGGTTTATTGGAGAGCAAATGGTCTGTCTACTCTTGCTCTGTCTTAGCCTGTCCAGGAGATTTCCACTTACAAATGTACAATATTTGTTTTAATTTACCAATTTGCCCATTTTCTTTTACTTTCTAGGTATGTGAGTAGGTGAATTTAAGTAGTCTCGGCTTGTTGTCACTGCCGTTTCTCCGTTCCGGCTTGGGGCTTCTGAGTTGAATTCTTCCACGGTTCCACCTCAGTTAAAGTGGGATTATTATTCTGAGTATTTTTCCTTCTTCTCCTTCACTATTATCTTGAAGCCCCGCACATTCATACTATATAAAGCAACAATATCGTAGTAATTCTTCCTAAATCCCATTACAATCCCATTACTAAGAGTCAAATTGCCACATGGAAAGGTTGTTGTTCCTTCGAATTCAATGGGGTTTAAATCAATTTTTCCGATGAGAGGTTATGGAGGCGCATTCGATAGTTAAATTCGAAGAAGATAATTCTGATTTTGTTGCTATTTTTTGGTCAAAAGGCAATAAAAGAAACAGAATACAAAAAATTTTTGGTCAAAACACTGTCGTTTATGCTCCTGGACAGGCTAAGACAGAGTAAGGGTTGACAGAGGATCTGCTCTCGGTTTATTGTGTATATTTTTGTGCAATTTGGGTTTTGGGAAATTGGATTATTCTTTGTGGTACATACTAAATTATTACTCACTAATAATACTAATATATACACAGCTCTTGGAACAAATTGAATTTTTTTTGGGTCAAAATTTAGTCAATTTAGCTATATCTAATGTTTGTTCACAGTATTACAATTACTCACAGTATTACCGTTCAAAAAAACAGTATTACAATTAAATTTTAAGTGTTCATTATGATAAGGAGTGACATTTAAAAACGTATTGTAACGGCTCAAATTAACAATTATGGATGCCTAATAAAACAGCTAATGTGTACTCTCAGTCTCACTCAGGATCATTATTCTGTCGCTTTTGCATCTTCGTTACAATATCAGTACTACTTCAATGAAACCATATATATAGAGCGAGTTAGCAGCGTGTATGTGGAAAAATGGAAAATGACTGCTTATTTTGTCTACATTTCTTTTTCTTGTTAAAGGGAAAAAAAGGGAAAGCTGAAAGAAAATTACTCAAATGATGTAACGCAAGGGCGATTTGTAATGCGTTTCTAGTCGTTTTTTGTAAATCTCATTGAATGTTATTTGTATCCATCTCCATTTTACCTTTTGACTGGTTCTAAGTTGTAGTACTATTTGTGACTTGTGAGATGAGATTCAAATGAAATGCATCACCATTTCTTAATGTGCAATGAAATTGCAACAGGACGATTTGACTAGTCATTAACTTCATTATTGACTATGATAAAGATCTTTCATGCAGATTATTTTTACGTAGGAACAATAAAATTCAAAATACCACAATTGACGAGTAAACACTCTTATTACATTAAAAAAAAAAATTTCAATAACAGAACCAGATCATACCATTGATATAATCTCTTTCTCTCTATGCTTTCCACGTCAATAAGATAATTACTAATTGGTAGAATATTTTACTTAAGTCATCAATCCATTTAAAATAATGATGATCAAGGGCAGATGGAGTATCAAGATGACTAACCGTCTCAAAAACAAAGTTTTTTGCGCATGAAGGAAGAAGGATAGTTGACCTAGCGCTTTGATATTTACCAACACTTCTAAATGGTTGGCTAATTGCAAGCTACAGAGATCAATGACTAAGTAAAACTCCGAATATTGAATTACAGTTTAGCGGTTAGAATGTCATGCTTCTTGATTCGGATTCAATTTTCACTGAAGTGCATGTAAGAGATTTTACTCACAATTAAGTAGGGTTCATTATGGTAAAATTTTTATTTTTTTTTATAAAAACAAATAAAAATTCATTTCAACCTGAAGTCTTAAGGTGATAAGTTCTAAATTCGTCTTATTTAATAATTGTGCTCTATTATTCTCAAATACCAAGATAGGATTATCTAATATACTCATGACCTTAACATTTTGGTATGTGTTGGGAACGAAATTTGCCTAGTGAATAAGGTTATTGGAATCTCGGTAAGCAGTCACAAATTTAAGTTCACAATTAAAGTTTGCAATTAGAATTTTAATTGGTTTTGTCTCGTTTTAATGCTTGTTCGTTGAAAGTGCTCCTTATTTAAACATATCGCTTTCGATAATACTTAGAAAATATGTGTGCACCGTACTCTATTCACCTCTAATGTCAACATGTATACTCCTCTATTCAACTAATTTAAGTAAGCATTAGTATGATTTTTTGGGCTCTCAAAATTATTAAATCTAACCTAACCTTCAACAAGTGGACACACTTTGGTGAGCCTAATTGTCGTTACCATCTCCACAAAAAATTTTAATGATTTTCTGGACACAGTTGGTGAACCCCATCAAGCAGATATGTACAAGTTAAACCAAATCACCACAAAGATTGAAACAATTATCTGGTACCACAAATCCACGAGGCACTCCTTTCTGTAATTCCCCTTAAATTATTTTATGCAAACGGATCAAATGGCGTAGAAGGCAGCTAATTTGTTTTTATGTTTGTTTAAATTAATAATCTATATTTTATATAAATTATTTCACATGTCCGAAAATGATTCTCTAATTTAAAATTTCGTTATAATACAACATTGTACATGCAACACTCTCGATTTGTTTTTAAGTGGGCTAATATTTGTGATTAGAACGTACAATTCCTTCTGTCGGAAAAAAGAAAAGGTCTGATAATCCAATTAGCACATGCCATACCAATGCCGGCATATGTTTTTCTTTATTAGATTCGCTCGTAAGAAAGAATCCAGCTTTATCCACTGATTAATTTACTTCAACCAATTAATTTACCTTATCGCCTCGTAATTTTTAAAAAAATTAACAGTCATAGATAAGACCCCAATCTTCTTCACCAACTCACTCCATAACATATCCAAATGACCATCATTATTAAAGAATCAATAGTTGAACTAAAGAGTTGTGCTGGTTAATTATGTGAAAAAGGTTCATCCGCTCTTAATTAATGACTCAATGTTTCTTCACGCAGACGATATGAGACAATTAACTTTTAACACGAGTATTCGAATCCAACATTAAATATGGATGATAAACACAATATATATATATATATATATATAAAAGTGAGATAACAAAAAGGGGAGGGGGTAAAGTTAAGAAAAAGAAAATGATGAGTAAATTTTAGAATTCCAAAAACCGCAATGAGTAACACAGATTTGCATGTCTCGTTCCATGTTTTTCGAAAAGCTGTAAAAAAAAAAAGAGATAATTAAATTGAAACATCATTAAAAAAACAACTCGGAAGGGTAACAGTGACTGCAGGTTGCAATCGCAGGCGGGCGTTTTTTTTGACACCCCAAAGCCTTGTCGTCCCGTGCGGCCTCAATTTCCAGACAAGGTTTTTACTATAGGGCGCTCTAACACTGTAGATTGAGTTTAACTTTAATCATGATGTTTTTACCTGAGCATGATTTTACTAATAATAATAGTATATAAGTAGGATTGGCTCATTTTTTGACTTAAAAATATATTTGCTGAGCAACATTAGATTTCATGTTAAGTTTACGTTATGTGCCAATTGTATTAGCAATTCCGGCCATCTTTTTTCTGAAGAATTAGAAATACAATTATTGACATTAAGTTTATATTGTTCCTTACAATAATTATTTTATGTTAAGTAATGATTTGTTTATTCTCGCAATTTTCTTAACCGGGCGACGTGGTTGGGAATCCAAGAGAGTATTTTGACTTAAGAAAGAAGGGAAGGATGAAAATGAAAAGAAAAGGTTTTGGGTGTGGTGTGGGGAGGTTGCCGCTTTGCTGGTGAGATGAATAATTATGCCCCTATATGCATGCTCTCCTTCATCTTGCTTTTTTAGCTTATGTGACTTTTCCAAGTTTCCATCATCATTAAAAAGAGCCCCTCTCTTGTTGCTTTTCTTCTTTTTCCCCTCATTGACTTGGTACTTGGTAGTAATACGCTTCTTGTTGTACATGTCGAGCTTTACACGCTTATAATAATATATTAGTATTTACATAAATAGTTTAGACTTACAACAATATTGAATACTACACGTGTCTCGAAAAATTATTGAAATAAGGGTATGTTTGGATTGTTTTTTTAGTGTTTGTTTTTTAATTTTTCTTATTAAAAATATAAAAAATATGTATTGAAAATAAAAAAAAAAAGTATACTGAGATGATACAATTATTACTGAATTTTAAGATTTATACTGTCTATAGTACAAATTTTTAAACTCTCAATGTGACCTATTTTTCAAGTCAGAAGGAATAACAAACACCGAATATGTCTTGTTTTAACATTAGACTTAACATAATTTGTGAAATATATGTCTGAACTCTGAAGTCCACACCGATCGGCGAAATGGAACAAACTAATTGTCTCCCCGATATAAAACTGGCGGCTTCATCGATCTATTCAGTACTAGTACTAGTACTTGAAGTAATGAACTACTACATCGAAAAATAGATGGAAGTATTATATTAGGATCGTACGTTCCTTCCAATCAATGATGCAGAAGTCAGATTTTGAGTCTCTTTGCGGCGTACATAAAAAGTTGATAATTATGGGCCAGTAATTTGTCCACAACCCTATTCTATCTCGACCTTGCCCTTCTTTTCCAGTTGCATTTTGCAATAGTTTAAAACCCAAATGATACGAAAGCAAATTCATTCAGCCCACGAATACCTTATATCACATTATTGTTGGGGTCTATAAATAACTAAGTACATTTAAGAAGTAAAAAACTTTTGCAAAATCAAATTGTTTTTGTTTGTTTGTTAGGGGAAGCTGGGAAGGGGTGTCAAGCTTTTTTTTTTTTTTTTTTTATTTAATCTCAGCAGTTATCATTTAAAGAGAGTCTCTTTCTGCTAGTATTCAAAGAGATTTTGGCATGATGAATATCCGGGGCAACTGGTATGAATATGATGATCATGGTACCTTATATGTTGTTTTGATAAACCATTCAGGATTTTTGAATGAAAATATGCTGCATTCACTATGCACGCGAAGTGTTCGACAATACGCCGGACCCAACTGTGTTTCTCTACAACAAGCTCATTCAAGCTTATTCTTCTCGAAGTTCGCCCCTTCAGTACCTGTGCGTCCAAATGCGGCTCAAAGGCGTATCGCCCAACGCGCATTCTTTCAACTTTTCTCTTTAGTGCTTGTTCCAACCTTGGTGATCCACTCCCTGCACATGCTCTTCACGTTGATTTCGTTAAATTTGGTTTAGAATTTGATATCTATGCCTCCACTGCATTGGTTGACATGTATGGTAAATTGGGCTTGGTTCATCTTGCCCGAAAACAATTTGACGGGTGGAAACCAGAGACTGCCTTCATTGCAGGGTATGCGAAACATGGAGAGAGCGTCGGGCTTGTTTTCAGAGATGCATTCGAGATATATAATCTCCTGGACAGCAATGATATGGGGGCTACTCATCGAATGGCAAATATAGAGAAGCATTGGGTATGTACCTGGAGATGGAGAAAGATCCAGGGGTCAAGCCTAATGTAGTGACTTTAGATACATTACAGAGAAGGAGTGGTTGCCAAGGGCCGGGAGATCTTCGAATCCATAGAGAAGGAGTTCTCAGTTACTCCAAAACTGGAACATTATATATAGATGCGTGGTTGACCTCTTAGGCCGTGCAGGAAAACTTCAAGAGGCTCATGATCTTATTCGACGCATGCCCATGAGACCGGATTCTATTGTTTGGGGAGCAATGCTGGGGGCCTGTTGCTTCCATAGCAATGTGGAGTTGGGTGAAAAGACACACTTTTTAAGCTAGAACCTAGTAATCCTGGAATCTACGTCATTCTCTCGAATCTTTATGCATCAGCAGGGAGATGGGATGGTGTTGCCAAGATGAGGAAAATAATGAGGGGCTCCCAAATAACGAAGACTGCGGGGTATAGCTTCATGGAGGAAGATAACCAAGTCCGTGAGTTCATTGTTGGAGGTAAATCTCACCCACATTCTGATCAGATTTATGCATTGTTGGATGATATCCATGCAAAGATTGAACTGTATACAAGTACTGTTGACTCTATTACTGACGATGTGTGGATCACTGTAAATTTATAACTTTTTCAATTCTCGCGGTCTTCGAACATTGTTAATTTAATCATTCCTCTTTTTAACAGCCAATCTTTTGAGTATTGCTTAATACCAAACTTGTCTGAAGATAAAAATATGATACAGAAATGGCCTTAATAAGACATATTTTGGAATTTTGAGTATCATTAGAGTATAGGTCTCAGCAAAAGATTGATCTTGGAAACCAAGCTGAACTATGGAATATTCTATCTTCTGCTTTGCTATTAGAATCTACACTTCTTTCCAAACACTTAGCTGAGCTCCCTCCAATTATATAAAAAGTCAACGTACTCCTCTTTTTTTTTCTTTGTTTTTTTTTTTTGTGGGTTTGCTTCATAGGTTAACCTAATATCGAGTTATGTTAATAAAAAGAATAATAATATGAGTCACTGCCTTCAACGGCACACGTAAAAAAAAAAAAAGAAAAAAAAAAGAAAGAAGAAGAAGAAGAGGAAATAGATGTTTCCCGTGTAAATTGAAGTTCTTTGCGAATTTGGCAATTGCCCAAAACCAATTTCATAATCAGGAAATAGATGTTTCTAACAATAATTTCCTAAACGTCAAAGAAGGATCTATATAAGCAGAGGGCATCTAGACATTGTTCTCTTCAATCATAATCCCCCGCATTGTCTTATTGATAACCAAGAAATTCAAATAAGTTGAGAAGAGACGAAAAGCATGGACACTAGCAGTTCGGAGGAATTTTTTAGCGATGACAGTGATCATACTGATCTTGATACTAGTGATTTCACCACCGATACTGATGATAGTGACAGTGAGTTTGATGAAGATGACGGGAATGCTGCCGCAGACGAAGATGAGGATGATGCTGTCGCCGTCGGAGATGATGATGATGCCGCTGACAGTGATGATGGTTACTATGGTAGTGATGATGACAATGACGATAATCAATACATTACGGCGGATGAAAGCACCGATAATTACTTTAGCGCCGATGATAGTAGTGATGATGATTATTAAGATATGATACAATGCGAAAATTGTGTTGACTTTGCTATTTAATTAGTGCTTTCGTGCAGTTTCTATTATTAGTTCGTGTCATAATAGATTTAGTTAAGGTTTTGTGGTATCCCGTAGCAAGGCTTAAGGATAGTATGTATTTTTTAAAAAAGTTATAAGATGATGCTAATTAGTACTCCTTCCGTCCCATCATTATTGTCCACTTTGCCTAAAATATTTTGTCCCAAAATTATTGTCCAATTTGACTTTTTATGGATCAAGTTACACATTTGTCTTTAGTAAAAAATATTATCCATAAAATCTTTGTGGTTAAACAAAATTACTTATGTAGGGGTATATCCGGTTATTCAAGGTAAAATATAGTTAAGTTTGACTAAAAATAAAATTTTTCATTTTAGTAAAACTGGACAATAATTATGAGACGGATGGAGTAATTTTTATTCATGTCTGGTTTTAAGTATTTAGTTTGTTATAATGTTTTAATTCAACAATTAACCACTCTTTTGTGGTGAAAAAAAAATTGTTCACATTATATTTTATATTTATATTATATATTTTATACAAATCATATAAACACATGGTTTGCACAATTTTTTTCCCCCAACGACCATTTTAAAAATACAGGAAAAAGTATATTGTTATTATCTTGACCTGCAAGTGTGCGAGCTAATAGTTGGGTTATGGTTCAAAAAGAAAAAGAATCGTAATCCCAAATTGCTAATTTCCCAATCTATTGTTTAACGGCGGGCTAAATTTAATCTACTTGATTTAACATACCTTTGGAAAACAGAATGTTCTAGATTGAATGAATTAATAAAACAAATTGAATTAAGGAACAACTCTATACATCAGTAACAAACTTAATACATAATAAAAATACCAAAATAAACAGGCCTGAGGAGGGGGCATCGTGAAAACAAGAGTACATTCTTTTATTCGAAAAATTAGCCCAACTGAAGAGTTGAATTGGCCCAATTCATTAACCCACAAATCTATCCCGGTGGCATTTGTTGTAAATTTGTCTATGAATGCTTCAGGATTTTTCGCTTATTACAATCTGATTTTCCCTTGAAGACTGAAGAACACTTTGGGTCAAATTATGTAACGCATTATAAGTTTACAGAAATGTTAGGGCATTTTGTCAAACCCACCCTTCAGTCTGCCTTCCAAGCATCTAAAGCTTCTCGATTTTGTTATGAACGTACGGAGTTTGAAGCAAATACACGCATTTAATCTCCGGAATGGCACCTACTGCATCAAATTTCTCATCACAAAGCTGCTGGAAGCTCCGGCTCCGGACATTCACTATGCACGCAAAGTGTTTGACAATACGCCGCACCCAAATCTGTTTCTCTACAACAAGCTCATTCAAGCTTATTCTTCTCAAGGCTCGCCCCTCCAATCCTTGTCTCTGTATGTCCAAATGCGGCTCAAAGGCTTATCACCCAACGCGCATTCTTTTAACTTTCTCTTTACTGCTTGTTCCAACCTTGGTGATCCACTCTCTGCACATGCTCTTCACGCCGATTTCGTGAAGTTCGGTTTAGAATTTGATATCTATGCCTCCACTTCGTTGGTTGACATGTATGGTAAATTGGGCTTGGTTCATCTTGCTCGAAAACAGTTTGAAGGGATGGAAACCAAAGACTTGCCCACTTGGAATGCCTTGATTGCAGGGTATGCGAAGAGTGGTAACATGCAGGGAGCATTGGGCTTTTTTTCGGAGATGCCTTCCAGAAATGTAATCTCTTGGACAGCAATGATATCGGGCTACTCACAGAATGGCAAGTATAGAGATGCATTGGGAATGTATCTGGAGATGGAGAAAGATCCAGGGGTCAAGCCCAATGTAGTGACTTTAGCTAGTGTTCTTCCAGCTTGTGCCAATCTTGGAGCTCTGGAAGTTGGGCAGAGGATCGAAGCTTATGCGAAGGCCAACGGATACTTGAAGAATATCTTTGTTTGCAATGCCATTTTAGAGATGTACTCGAGGTGTGGTAGACTAGATGCTGCGATGTGCATCTTTGATGAGATTGGTCCGAACAGAAATTTATGCTCTTGGAATACCATGATCATGGGACTGGCTGCCCATGGTAAATGCAAAGAGGCTTTGGAGCTTTTCAATCGAATGCCCTTGGAAAGCATTAGACCGGATGATGTCACATTTGTAGGAACACTTTTGGCGTGCACGCATGGTGGCATGGTCGCCAAGGGCCGAGAGATCTTCGAATCCATGGCAAAGGAGTTCTCAGTTACTCCAAAACTGGAACATTATGGATGCATGGTTGACCTCTTAGGTCGTGCCGGAAAACTTCAAGAAGCGTATGATCTTATTCTAAGCATGCCCATGAGACCCGATTCTATTGTTTGGGGAGCAATGCTAGGGGCTTGTAGCTTCCATGGCAATGTGGAGCTGGGCGAGAAGGCTGCAGAAGCACTTTTTAAGCTAGAACCTAGTAATCCTGGAAACTACGTCATTCTCTCAAATATTTATGCATCAGCAGGGAGATGGGATGGTGTTGCCAAGATGAGGAAAATAATGAGGGGCTCCCAAATAACGAAGGCTGCGGGGTATAGCTTCATGGAGGAAGATGACCAAGTCCATAAGTTCATCGTTGGAGATAAATCTCACCCAAAATCTGATCAGATTTATGCATTGTTGGATGATATCCATGCAAAGATTGAACTTTATACAAGTATTGTTGACTCTATTACTGACAATGAGTTTATCACAGTAAATTTGTAACAGTTTGACAGTTTCCTTTCTCGCAAACTTCGAACATTGTCAATATAATCATTTCTTCTTTTTAACTGCAAATCTTTTGAGTATTTGCTAATGCAAGAATGAAAAGCACAAAAACTTGTTGGAAGATACAAAGATGACAGTGGGCTACCTTTAATAAGACATTGTTTAGAATAGCATTTGACTACGGTTTCAACAAAAGATTCATCTTGGAAACCAAGTGAACTACTGGAATATAGAACAAGCACACAGATCGATACAGTCATGAAGTACACTGGAAAAACGGTTCCTAAATCTGATTAATTAATTAATAAAATTGCAAAATAGAAAAGAACAAATAATAAAGTTATAGTTAAGCTAATTAATTAGAACACATAGAGTCATGTCTATTCATCCAAAAGTCTCGCATTTCTGTCACTTTGCCTGGTCAGTTGCAGGGATGAAACACATATATATACTCTTCTTATTGAAATGATGTTCTTGGCCAATGTCTAGGCCCTTCCTTTGGATATTGGAAGTCCCTCTTCCAAATATTTATCACCATTTCCTTGTTCTTCATCATCATCTGAAGCATCATCAACCCTTGGACTGGGTAGAAAATTTGGTGCAACCCCAATGGCCATCACGTTGCAACTCTTGGCATCCTTTTCGTTCTCTGTCATCGCCATTTCGAGTTCCTGCTGTTCATCAGATTTTTCTAAGCTCGGCACCAATCGAGTAATTCTCTTCATTTCTTTGCTGTTTCCCCAAAGCACCGAGTACAATCCGCACACTATCACTAAAGCTCCAAGAACACTGTACAACATAATCGATCATTAATGAGTATTTATTTATCACGTGTTCAAAATTGGATAATTACAACGAGACATGAGGTAATTGTGGTAGGAACACCGTGATTTTACCTTCCAAGGTGCAACTGTTCATCAAGAAACAAGGATCCGGCAATGGCAACGAGGACAAGCATCAGAGGACTAAAAACAGATACGAATAAAGGACCTCGCATCCTAACGCACCACATGGTGAGTACCACCATGAGTCCTGAACCCACCATTCCCTAAATCAAATAGCAATCATAATCACTGAACTTGTGAGCACTGTCACTTCTTGAAGTAACAAAGACATGAACATTGACACTTTCATGTGAAAATGACAGGTAACCACACATACATAACTCAAATATATCTAACACGTCTACAATATCTTTTATCTGCAAAGTTGATGAATGCACATACACTTGGTAATTTTCCACGAAAACAACTAGTGACTATAAACAACTAGGGGTGACAAAATGGTGAAAAAGTTGAAGTCACTTGTCAAAATAGAAATTAATGGTGTAGTACAAGATATCATACCGAGTAAGCAACTGCGAGAAGTCTAATATCAAACCCTAATCTCCATTTTTCCCAATGGTTTTGTTCAAAGCAAAGAGCAAAGACAACAGCTTGAACACTGCCCATCAAACATATTAAAGCCGTGCTTGAATAATGGCAAGGGTATCTCTTACTCATTTTGGCCTGCGTATCACCCAAAGTGTTCAAACAAACGTGAACGATTAATCTTGTGAGCCATTAAGATCTAAAATCCCGTGAATAATTAAGCATATTGAATAAATACTAGTAGCTGGCAATATTTTTGATACCTGAAATATCAAACCGAATGAACAAGAAAAACAGCTCGCTATAGCAAGAAGTGGGCCCATGATGTGATCACTGGGATTGTGGTGACGTGTTGCAGAGTGTCCACGTGTACCTTGAAGTCCCCCTTGGTGAGTTGACCACAATTTAATTTCAACGCCTTTGTAAAACGTTAACAGCATAGCCCCACCCATGCAGATTAATGTTCCTATCACTTTTGCTTTCCCTGCCGTACTCTTTAAATCGAATCTCTCCAACCTGAATTGGATCGTGAATAAAATATCAACAAACAGATTTCAGGTGTGGGATTTTTTTATTTTTTTATTTTAGCAATTTAGAATTTTCTCGATTCTATTTAATTACCCAAAGAATATGGCCATGGTGAAGGTCATTGCGGGGATGAGATTTGTCGTGGCTGAAGCAAACGTTGCGGAAGTCATGACCAGACTTTGTCCATACAAATTCTGGGCAAGCGATCCCCTGAATTTCAAGTCATCATATGCATAAAAATTAATGCTTACAAGTGTACTGTTTCATCACCAGTTGTTTGTATATCTACCAACACGTGATGATGAACTAACATTGAAAAAAAAAAAATTCACAATTGCATCTTGGTTGCTTATTTAGTGAGTTTTTTTGGTACTTGATTATGAAAATATGGAGACGAATAAAGATGGAATTACTCTCATCAATAGAGCTTTAAATGGAGTACTTACGTGAATTACAAACATTATGTAGTGTACCAGGTGGGATGTACCCCAGTAGAAATTTTGATTTGAAGGCAATTATAGAAAACGAATAATATAACCAAAAAAAAATATAATTACTTTTGAAAAACTTACCCAAATAATGCACAAATAAATGCTTGAATAATTTAACAAAAAAAATATATAATTACTTTTGAAAAACTTACCCAAATAATGCACAAATAAATGCTTGAATGAGAACCATCCACGTTAATTTCGGTCTAGTACTCCTGCCAAAAAAAAAAAAAAAAAAACACTTTGTCAAGAACTGTTATTTTTAATAAGAAAAAGAATTCAATTTACAAATCAATGGATTAACAGCGCACTACTCTCAGGTGCAGAAACACACTTTTTTGGACTTAAATTCTTCTTCAATTCTTCATCATTTTTACCAAGAAAAACAAAAAAACAAAAAAAAAAAGACGTAACGGAGAGCCGTAGTTCATCCTCTTATCGGGCAAAAGGACAAATTGGTTTTCGATTTTTACATTAGCCTTTTCTGGATGCATCTGCAAACTTTTTACTACGTACTATACTATGATAACAGATATACAATGAGAAACAAACAACCAAAACAATAACCGCTTCGTTTTTAAACAGATCAAATTGAAATGACCAAAACTCTTTTCTTTTGCACCGATCAAGAAAAAATAAGTGGGAAAAAAAATGCAAAAAAACAAAGAAAAAAAAATGGATGATGACCTCTCGAAATAAAGGGCAAGTGGAACAACGGCAGCGGAAGCAAAGAGGAAGCGGTAAGCCACCATTACTCGAACACTCATTCCGTCATTTGAAGCCAATTTATAGAACACATTCACTCCGGCCAGCGCCACCTGCACCACCACCATCAACAACACCGGCTTCAGCCCATGAATTATATTGCAAATTCTCCCCACCGTTATCATTTTTTTTTTTAATCAAAGATTCTTAATTCCCTTTTACTTTGCAAATTCCCCCTTCCCCTTGGTAGAGAATCAATTAATTAAATCCCTCCACAAAACATCAAGAAAAACAAGCAAGAAGCTCGATTTTAACTATCCTCTTTGCTTTTATTTTGTGAGAGGAAAACTTGAGAGAAGGCTAGAGGAATAAGGAGGAGAAGGGTAAGTACAAATTTCAATCGGTGGGAAATGAGTAATATATATACAAATATATATATAGGCAGAGGAAAAAGGTTAATTTGGCTAGTGCTTGAGTACATGCAAGAAGGAAGGGTGGCGTGCCAATGCCTTATGGCAAAATTGGGTAATGGAAATAATAATGATATTATTAATGGTGATGATCAAAATTACAAGGCATTTGCTATTTTCCCACGTCAAAAATATTCATGTAGAAATAAAGCTGTTTTTTTTTTCCCTTCGCGTGTGAGCATGAATTTGGAGGGCTGAAGTGACACGTGCGACGAATAAAGGAGTATAATCATGGCTGGAATACACTCAATATATATACTACTACAAAATAGAGGGAAAAAAAAAAGAAAGAGAGAGGAGAGACGTGACAGATTTTAATTTTGCATGGCAAAATGGAGTTTGGAAAGTTTTACCAAAAAATGGGGTGTAATTTACTTGGGTGGCAAGCTGGCAGTAATAAAAAAAAGGTGGGGAGTATTAATTAAGTCCAGGTCAGTGCCTACGTTGCAGTCCACTAAGCAGCTACTGAGACTTGACTGTTTTTTCTTGGGGTTATTGAAAGATGTTAATTACTACGAATTACCACATATTTACAGGTGGACGACGCAGTAAATGCGCTAATTAGGACTCACTGACCTTTGCACACCCCCCTGCAGATTAGCTGCCATCCTGCTGCTGACTGGTTCTTACGCGAGGTGCTGATTTTGTGGGAAATAAAAAAACATACTAATGAGCCAAGGTTCTCAATTCAAAATATCAGTTGTCCATCATCGATAACAATAATTAATATTGACGAGTAAGATAACTGGCCGAAATATATTAAAAAGGTTCCCCAAGAAAAGGCCAAAATATGACAGTGTACAAGTCTTTTTGCATGACACGTTATTGAAAAGATACTTGTACATATATATTAAAGCGATCAAAATTATTATATCGTATTCTATTTTATGTTAAATTATACAATTTATAAACATTAAATTTATGTTAAATCAAACATTAGTATATGCCCATAAAGTAAGTCCAAAATAAGCCGGAACCGATTAATTTAGCGCTGAGGTCGTAAGAGATCAACCGATGAATGTTTTGAAATCAATGTAAAGGTTGGTGAAGTCAATCCAAATTAAGATCAAAGAGTAGTAGTACTCCTCTGATAACTTAAAATTTAAATTACAGATGAAAGTTGCGATTGAAATTCGTGTACATTTATGTTGTCGAATATTTCAGAATTGAGATCTATGGTCGAGAATCATGTATTGGGTAATCTTCTCGATTTCTCGTTTCTTCCTTTTTAAGTAAAAAGTTGTAGTTCAAACTTTTCCTTAATTCTCTACCTCATGAGTTGTTTGCTGAGGAAATTGTAAAAATTTGTACACAACAAACATGAAACTAATGAATTATTTTGAGACAGAGACACATAATTCATAAATGTTACTACTACAGTTACGCTCAAAAGTCAAAACACTTCTTTAATAGGGAGTAACTAGACAGCTGAATCCAGTTCGGTTAATCAATGATACTCCCTCTGTTCCGAAATAAGTGTCATTTTGGAGTTTACACATAGTTTACGAAAACATTAAATAACGTAACTAAATTACTAGAATATCATTAATTAATCTCATTAAAATAAATACTCACTAATAATATTATTTCTTTTGAGGGTATGTTTTTAAACTTTTGACAAAAAATACGTAAGAATCCGAAAACGACACTAATTTTAGAATTTCTCTATTTTACTAAAACGATACTTATTTTGAGATGGAGTAAATACTCAACAATCAAGTATTTTCGATGGTTTCAGTATAAAGGCATGTAGTTGTATACAACCTGATAAATTTAGAACTCCTACTTTATTTGATCAGAGTATTCATCACAAATGGTTAAATATATAACTAAACGTGTACATGAATTATTGATACTACGATTTTCTTATTATACTTTTTTAGTTCATTCTAAAATAATTATCTAATTTGTTTAACTAAATAACGCTAATAGATATATCAAACAATTACTTTGAGCCGATTAGAAGAATTTCGAATGAGGTCAAGCTATGATTACAACATGATATAGTTGGCGTCGCTTATCAACGTTCTATAATAGTTTACTCTATTAGGCATTGTGCCTCCTTTCATTGTATTGGAAAAAAAAATTCTTTGAGATATAATTATATTTATAAATTTTTTTCTTTCTTTTGAAAAATTTATAAAGCACCTCGTTATTGGAGTCATTTATTTTTATTTTCCAAATTAGATGTTTTTCAAACTCGGAAAAAATTCCGGAACCTTCAAGACCAAAAGTGTAGCAGGCTAACAGCATACAGTACCCGATTTTTCAATTATAGTAATTCCATCAATTCGTTACTTTCTTTCTGTTCCCTTCTTATTATCGATCATATATGATTCACAGTACCAACTACCAATTGTAATCCTTCGCCATAAATTAATACGATGAGATTAATGCTCGTCTTGGGATTTTGTAATGATCAATTTCATTTTCATATCTTCAGCTTAGGCGGGTTTTCAAAACTTACTATTAATACAGAGTACTAGTTAACAACTCGGGGCATACTAGCTAGAATTCCAAATCTCCCATTCTCGTGTTTTATTTGTCCCATGAATACCACGGAAAAAATATTTCATTTAATTATCAGGTTAATATATACTAGTAGAAATGGAATGACTTTTTTTAACCATAGATTACTACAAACAAAACGTAAATAGTTATTTTGGAACAGAAGAAAAGAAAAAATCAAATTTGAAGTAATATTTGTGATCAGATCATTATTATCTCGTATAATGGATTTTGCGGCTTTCGGCGGTTTTTAATGCAGGTGGAAACGGTGAACATTGTCATATCTTTGGTTCATAAATGAAGAGGTGATAATAATCTAAATGTATATATAAAACTCTTCGGAAAATTCCATGGCTCCAAAAATGAAGGGCAACCGTAAACCATCACATTCTTTTTCTAATTTTTTACAGTAATCAATAAATTAAGAAATGACAAATCTATCAATTTGTATCAGTTTTTTGATACATATAATTGACCGCAGAGTCTTTTGTTTTGATAAAGCATATTTTTAATTTTGCGTGTCGGAGCTTTAGATGTTGTAAAAATTGCACATTCTAAAAATATGAGAATGTAGGCGTTAACTTCTTTTATTGTATCAAAAAAAAAAAAACGTATTTTTATTTTTATGTATTTTTTGGTACAAAAGAGATGATCATAGCAAAATAAAGTCTAAAAGGTTGTGTCGACAAAATCAGCACATACACGATTTCGATATTATTAATTCTGTAGAGGTGCCTTCCGCCATTTCAGATGACCTGTTTCTATGACGTAATTGAGGATGTTAGAGGTTAGCGGTAAGGAAGATATTTGTACATCGTTAATATCATACCAGTAATTAGTAAAATGCTTGACTGAGACAACTACTAAGTTGAAAAAGAAGCATATAAACAAAACTTGTTGATGTTAGTAGTCTTTTCTTCCACACCACTTGTAATTTTAACTCGGAGCCAAAGTTCTTAAATTACCTCACTTTTGTGGTTAAAGTTTCATACTGTCCGGTGTCCAAATCTTTGTTGACGAATGCACTAGCATTTGTAACTACAATTTTATCAAAATTATCTGTTTTTTTTGTCCTAAGAAAAGTAGTCTGGTTGGATCCACATCTACAGTGGCCAGTTGTTACATGCACACAACAGCACTTAAATAGACCACGTATGATAAGCTCAATATGCTACCAGACAGTAGAGAGAATCCGAAAAGCTTTCCTGAAATTGGCACTGAAATTTGGAAATAACGAAATGCCATCCAAGAATGAGAGCAAAAGGTGCCAAAAGCACAAAAATGTGTTTTCAATTGCAGTTCTTTAATTAGTATAATATAGAGCCCACTATAAGATTTTGGGCAACAAGTTGAATGGATTAAGCTTCTATTTCAAGCAATCATCCACCAAAAAAAAAAAAAGTCTCAAAGTTGTGATGGGCTGATCTAACCAAAAAGCCCAAAAAGGTTTCAGTTGTGGTCATCTAAAATCACTTTTTTCTTTAACCTTGGGTGCAGAAACATTTTGCTTCCTGAAATAACAAAATGTCATCAGCTTCTCTGCCTAAAACAAGTCAAGGTGGGGATTATCTGACCTGCTCATGTATCACACTGTGATTAGAGTACGATATAATTATAATTAGAGTTCATCATCGATCTGTTCTAGTTTAAAAACCTTAAAAACATTTCATAATAATTATGAGAATACAACGAATGTAAAAATATATTTTTAAGGTTTTTTTTTTAAATAAAAAGACATTCTAAGTTAAACATAGGACGAAATCAAAATAACTTATAATAAGGACCAGAGGAGTATGTTACTTTAAAATCCAATTCGATTTTAGCACAACGAACGTGGTAATAAATTTGGACGGGAGGACCAAAAATTCAAGAGGGAGAATCGAGTTTTTTTGGTGTACCTGTACCACACCTTATATGGCACTTGAGCTGACAACGATTAAAAAGCCGCTCTGAAATAAGGTAAACAAAGCACCACCAGCAAAGTAATTAAACAACACCTTTCAATTTTAGTGATGTTTTTGGAAAAGGAATCGACTCAAAACCATTCATAACGTTCGGAAGGAGACTGACGCAACCGGTTTCACAATTATCAAGGCAGCCGAGTCCCTGTGCTGATGAAACCCGACCTTCCAAAGAGACCGATACTATGAAAACCACCAGTATGAAAACTAGAGCGGTGGTGCCCGTCATCTTGTTCTCCATTCTTTTTTTATTTTTTATTTTTTTTGGCTGGGATTTTTTGCGTTAAAACATACTGCTAATTTTGGGACTCTAGTATCCTTCCTTATTAAAGAAGATAGGAGTTGTTTAGAAATGCCCATCATTTTGCCCTTTTTTGAATAGTTACTCCTTCCGTTCCAAAATAAGTATCGTTTTAGCGAATTGGAAAAATTTTAAAACAAGTGTCTTTCTCACAA